TATAGCATACTTACACACACAGTTACAATAATAGTCAAACAAAGAAAGTTATTCAATTACCTCAACCCTTTTATCATTAGAAAGGTTACCCATGAATTTCAACCACTACTATAACTTATCACAAGCTTCCTTTCTCAACTAAGATGCTCAATATGCCAATTTGAACACATTTGGCACAATTTAATCATTTGGTCTAATTTAACCAAAAGCACATAATTACTACTTATAGCTATATTTAGCTGTCTATTCTTTTTTATTTATCGATTCTAGGTCCATTACTACTTTTCATTATCCCAACTAGTCTCTTTTCACTCAAATACTATTCACCTTAATTTCTTCTTGATTTAAGGCCAAATTAAGCCTAAGGGTTTAAAGCTCTATCGTTCAGCTCTAAACCAGTCACAAAGTTCTAATTTAACTCTCAAGAACCTTTTTATTACTATTGAGCAAGAATCAAATCCCTTAAATTTCATCGATTCAATTTCTCTATAACTCATATTCCGAGAAATTTAGGTAAAATGAAAGGTAAGAGTTATACATAGCTTACCTACTAAGTTATCAATCAAAAGCACCTTTCACAACTTCAAAATAGCTTGCCCTATCAAACCTCAGCTTCCTCTCCTATCCTTTCATGTGTTTTTTAATTTCTCTCTCTCAAATTCACGACTTATGGGGTCATTTTTTGGTCCATGCGTCATGGCGCATGTAGCACAAGCCACGGTGCATTGCACAGTGAGAATAATTCTCACCACACACACTTTGTTTGACCTAAAACACTATCCTTCAACTTATATCTAGTCATTTAACATCCCAACGAGTCAAATCATCACATAATCATTCAAATCTTTAATCCCATACTAATTGATACTTAACCCTCAATTAACAGCTAATCATGAGATTAAAAAATTCAAGATGTTACTGTCAAAAATTGTGCTCTAGAGCTAATCATTATATTGTACACATTGTTATTTAATGAATTTCTCTTTTGTTATTATATGAACTGCATGTTTATTATGATAACTATATCCTTGGATAAATTATAGTGATTGTCTTAAATATCTCTGGTTAGTCATCTATGAGGGATCATAGATGAAACAAGACTAGTATGACTTTGATTAATTATAGAGATATAAATCAAAGTTGTAGACACTTGAAAAAGTACAAGGACTGACCCACTATGAAAAAGTTACATGATACAAGTTATAAGTTTATCTCATATGTAACTATATTACTAAGCCTTTTGACTTGAGATCATCATGGATTCTTACATGATGACCACTAAATTTTGACCTAGTCAAAAGTCACCTTTGACTAAGTGATCATAAATGCTATGATTGAGTTTAATGATATTCATGCAAACGAATATGAGTGGTCAAGATGAAATTTATCCCTTACATTAAGTGAGAGATATTACTAGGCCCCTTGATGAGTAAGACTAAGAAAATGTATGGTCATACTTTAATGAAAAGAGTTTTTTCATTACTACAGTCAGTCTACTTAGAGATCGAGAAAGTAATGGTTAAGTAAATGAAAGTGACAATTCCATATCTCACACTTGACTGAAATATCGTATGACAAAAAAGATGTGATACGATTACATGATAGGTTATATTGGATCATTAATCCCCATGTTTTGCAGTATAGTTGGTTGGCTTTCATTTTGTTCATTAAAATGTTTAGTTTGCGTACCTAAACCTGTGCTTTGGATTATTGTACTTCCTCCATTCTAAATTATAAGATATTTTTAAATAAAATATTATATATTAATAAATCTTACTCCCTCTGTTCAAAAATATAAAATATTTTTAATATTTTAAGCTGTAATCGTTGTCATTTTTCTAAAAATATCCCTGTTGATAATGCCTTTATATTTATTGTTAGGTATTTAATAGGGATAAATATGAAAAGATAGGGTTAGTTTAAAAATAGGTGACTACGTTATTAAAAAGTGAGGTTCAGTTAAAAATATATTTTATTTTTTAACAGAGGGAGTATTAAATATACTTAACAACATTATATTTTCAAAATAAAAATATAAACTTTTAAAAATACCCATCATTTAATATATTAAAAAGAGAAGAGACATAAATTAATTATAAAAAGAGAAAGGGTAATATTAAAATTAATATATTTAAGGAAACTTTAATATAATCAAAGTGTTTTATATTTTAGGATAAAAAAAAATTTTTAAAAGTGTTCTATAATTTAAGACGGAGGGAGTATATATATATTTTCAAAAACATTAGGAATGTAATTGGGAATATATTTTGGTGTTTTAGAAGAGCCTAGAAATTAAAAAAAGAAACTCTAGACTAGACATTATTCGGTCACTAAATAACTTGATTCACTCATAGGTATAGGATAGGAATATATATATATATATATATATTTACATTCAGGTTCACATAAAAAAATTCATCATCAAGAGATTCTATAAAATTCATAAAACATTTTTAAATTTTAAATCATGCACATTTACAATATAACTAAAAGCATTGACAACTAGAAAATGATCATTTATAACTTATTATTATAAATTATCATTTTTCTTTACAATTTGTAAATGACCTTTGCCTAATTATTAATGCCTTTAGTCAAGTTGTAAATGTACAGAATTTAAAAATTAAGAGTATTTTTTAATTTCATGAAATATTTCTTTATATAGAACCTAGATATAATTTTTCCATGCATACATATATACATGCATATATACTCCCTTCATTTTTAGTTATAAGAAAAATTATCATTTTTTTACTTTTTTTATATAAGCAAAATTACTTATTTCAATAAATATTTATTACATATTTTTTAAATTATCTCTCATAATTTATATTAATAAAAAATAATTAATATATGTTTATGTTAATTGATATAAAATAATTTATTTTAATTTTTTTATTTTTAAATATAATTATTGTGATTAGTTAATTTTTTTAAACTGGGTAATATAATTTTTTTGTTCCCTTGCATGTTGAAACGGAAGGAATATATATTTGCAGTTCCTGCCTTGTCACATCAGGCTTGTACTTGATTAAATCTGCTTAAATAAACAAATAATAAATTAGGGGTTGACATAATTGAAATGCTTTTATGGGTAGATGGCTAGCAAATATGACTTTAATTGCAATTACAGGGAAATTAAACGCTGGGAAGTAATGAAGATTATGATAATCCAAGTTATTTAAAATCTAAAATTCACCGCCAACATTAACCACTTTTTATATTTATTTGCTCGTTATAGCTTAGGATTTATTCTTGTTTAATCTGTGTCTCAAGTTAATTATATCTCATTCAACTTAAGTGAAGGTGTTAAATTACAGCTTGATGGAGTTATTGGTATATACAAAATAATCCTGATGAAAATGATATTTTTTTTTTTCAATTTCTCACAAGTATTCTTTTTTTATTGGATATTGTCGAACATCTCTTCCTACAACATTTAAACCTTAATTCATTATGTTACTGTGAGTCAGCTTCGCTTGATGAACTCTCAATTGGTTGATAAGAATGATACTTTGTTGATTACTTACGGTCCCCGTCTTCGGGCACCGAGGTGCTCATCCATCAAATAATATCTGAGCCATTCAGATTAAATTTGAACGGCCCAGATTTTTTAATTTTTAATTTAAATTTAAATTTAATTCATATTTATTAAAATAAAAATTTATAATTTTTTTATAAATAGGTTCATTATGAATCTGGATAGTACTGATTTAATTTAGTAGTCTAATTTAATATTATAACTTTTTAAATTGATTATTTACATGTACTTTGGACAATCCATATTTGATATTAAATATCTAATTGCAAGGTCTAAATTTTAATTTTTTATTTTTTATTTTGATGATTACAATATTAAAAAAATAAAATATATAATCTTTTAATTATAAATTTTTAAAAATATTTTTTAAAAAAATTACAAGTTAAAAATTTTAAATCAAAATTGTACAGAATACATTTAAATAATTAATATATAAAAATATAAAAATTATAATATTAAGTTAGACCCTCCAAGTTAAATATAGACTAGACTAGTCGAAAAATTATTTATTAGAATTTTTTTATAATTTTTGTAAATTTTTATTTTTTAAAAAATATAAAATAAAAATATTAAATTATTTTTTTAAGTCTGGACCATCCAGATTTTCTGGATGGCTCAGATTGTTAAATCTGGAAAATCTGGATGGCTCAGATTGTTAAATCTGGACCTTGCGAAATCAGAGATGTGTAAATTACAATTTTCAACCTATCACCTCTTCATCAACGAATGGCTAACCTGGCCCAACACAACGTATAGCAAGACATTCGAAGATAGACCAGACCAAAGGAACATGAATGAACATGAAACGGGGTGTCAGATTTTGTCCACACCAACATCACATCATAGAGGTCCTTGTACTTAAATATTATACTATACTTAGTTACCCTGATCATTTTTAACATAAATATTATGGTATCCAATAAATATTTAATTGAGATAATAAATTATACTATTACAGTATGGTAATGAATATATACGTTATGGAAGTGTAATGATGACTGTTGGGTTTGTAGATTCGATGGCTGACTGGGCACAAACCTGGCGCGATCCACCGTCGGAAGACAAAACACGACATCGTCGAATGAACGAACATCTGGAATTCAAATTTCTCAACCTCCATTCCAGAAAGGAATATTTATATATGATGGGTTGCTTGTGTCTTTTTTCTCTTTTAGTTCATCGTTATTATCATCATAGAACAAAATGAAATTATAAACATGCTTTCCATATGACATACAAGCAAGGTACCCAGTAGTTGTTCTCCAGCCCAATTTGTGCTTGCTCGCTCCTTTTCAGTTACAGTCAGAGAATCATTGAAGGCGGCGGCGAGCTCCTCGCTGGCAAAGATTCCCTCCTCCTCCCCTTCCCTGATGAGAACACACCAAATCTCGTCATTCCCTATATACATACATGTATGTGTGATTATATCTGGTTTTATGAATTCACCATTACATGCCTCATGGGCTGCACCATCTCCAAGCTCGATGATCTCCCGGCCGTGGCCCTTTGTCGTCAACGTTGTGCCTTTCTCGATGAAACTATTCGCCACTGCCATGCTCTCTCTGCTGCTCACCTCTCCTACGTCAACTCCCTCCAATCTGTTGCTCTTTCCCTCCAACAGCTCCATTTCACTTCTCCGCCTCATTTGCCCTCCGATTCTGATCACCGCCACGACGATGACGACGACGACCCTCATCATTTTCACCCTCCCCCTTTCACTTATAATACTGACCGATCATATATGAAGAATCATGTTACCCCTTCCCAGCTCTACGAGCAGACGCCTATCAGTCCCCACGCTGTTCGCATGCGCCAATATTCCTCCTTTTGCTCCTCTCCATTCTCTGTTACGAATCCCGATCCTTCTCCCTGCCATGCAGATCAAACCTATGATAATTCTGCTCCTCCCTACGGGCTGCCGGTTGATTCTTCGTCTGAGCCACCACCGAGGCTTTATTCAACTTCGGATTTTGGCAACTTCTATTATCAAGAGGACGGACACTATTCTCAACGCATACCGAGCCAGAGCTTGAAGGAAATACGAGAGGCGGAGGGAATTCCTGATTTGGAAGACGATGATTATGAGTATGAGGTGGTCGAACCAGTGCAGGGGGATCAAAGCGACGCAGATGACGGAGCTGAGAACCATTCAGGATTCACAAACGAAAACCAAGCAGACCTTACAGAGGCATCGCTCGACCAAACTATGCCGATTGGTTCAATGGAGAATGATGAGGTGGAAGTGGAACATGAAGTGCATGATGATGAGAGCTTCGGGGAACGAGCTGGCCCTCGGGATTCTTTTAAGGTCGCCAGCGAGATTGAGGTTCAGTTCCGAAGGGCTTCTGAATCTGGCATGGAAATTGCTGGGATACTTGAGGTGGGCTCGCTTCCATATTATCGGAAACATGGAGCTTATCAAGGTAAGTCACTCTTCATTTTCTAGTGAAAGAAATGGCTCTTTTTCATTTTGTCTGCTTCTCTTGAGTCCAATTATTACCTCCACCATCCATTGTTATCATAATCCGTGTATTATTTGAGAGCTTGCATGTTTTTCTGCGTGCTCTCACTAACTTGGGCTAACCATTGCGAGTTCTTCGAACGTATATTGCATACACGACTTCAAATTATATATGTTTGCCCCTTAACTTGAATTTTATCAATCCATATGAACCAGCTTTTTCCAAGATGTTAAATTTAGTTGCGTTCCCATTGTCATTAATGGTGTCAAGGCCATCAATCTCCAAAAGATACAAGGTTGGTCCTAGGAGCTTGGAACTTGATAGAGATATGTTGACGAGGACACGCAATCTTTCTTCTACATTGCAAAAACTTCATCTTTGGGAGAGGAAACTCTACAAGGAAGTAAAGGTATGCCTTTAGTTGACCAAAAAGTCAAAAGTTTCTTCCACATATGCATTTTACTCGTTCGATTTCTTCGGTAAACGTAGCTGAATGAACTTCCTTTCAAGCATCTCGTTTATCTGCAGTAGCGCCTATCTATTAATTACTCTGTAATTTTTTAATTAGACTCACAAATTAATTTATCAATAGGGTTTGAACACTTTTTTTTTTTTACCTCAAAACACTATCTTGTCAATCATTAGAATTTATTCATTTATTTATTCCTATGTATTATTTTTAATTTGTAGGCAGAGGAAAAGATGAGAGTCTTGCATGATCAAAAGTGTCGAATGCTGAAGCGTCTGGATGACAGGGGTGCCGATTTTCAAAAAGTTGATTCAATTCAAACTTCAATTAAAAATCTGACCGCAAAAATCAGAATGGCCATTCAGGTTGTTGAACTGATATCTGTGAAGATAAATAAGACGAGGGATGAAGAGCTGTGGCCCCGGGTGAATGAATTGATCCACGGGTATGTGAAGTTAATTAAGAGCTTCCAGTTGTGATATTTGTACAAATCACGAATATATCTATATCCCTCGCTCGCTGGCTTTATGTTTTTGGCATCCGACATGCATGAGAGCATTCTCGCTCCGTGAATTCTTGACTAAACGTGGTTGTTAATTTGTTATTGTAGGCACTTCCCCGTTATTTGTCAATTGCTTTCCTATATATAGGTGTCAATCTCCAGTTAGAATGGCTCTTGTTTCTCTTATACTTGATCGTCAGAATTTAAAGAACCTTGTGAATTTGTAGATGTCCATACGCCTATGCATCAATGGCATATTAGTGGACACATGACCATCAAATGATAAACTTTTAAGCCGAGGCACGTAACGAGAGTGGGAAAATGTGCGGTTTTTATTGAGTTTTTCGTCATTTAAGGCCAAACTTGAGGTGTTAGAATCTTTGTAAATTTCAAGGAATAGATTTAGCTAGCATGCTCTTATTTATTGTTCTCGTGGTTTTTTGTGGTTTTGATGATGTCATTTTTTGCCAAGTGATGACATTTACGTATTCTTTAGGACATATTAGAGTATACTATATGCTAGCTATTAGTATGTTTTGCTTTCTCTCATGGCGTGGATACTTGATGTTATTTTCAGGCTAACTAGAATGTGGAAATCCATGCTTGAGTGCCACCGAATTCAGTGTGAAACAATTAGAGACGCGCGAAGCGTAGGTTGGATCGGATGCAGGAAGAAGAGTGGCGTTGGTGATGAAGCCACCAAGCAACTTGAACGAGAGCTGATCAACTGGACTTTTCAATTCTCGAGCTGGATTAGTGCCCAAAAAAGGTACGTGAGAGCGTTGAATAATTGGCTTCTGAAATGTCTGTTGCAGGAGCTGGAAGAAACATCCCCTGGTAGAATGGAAGCCCCTGGTGTATTTGTAATATGCAACCGATGGTGCCAGGCTATGGAGAGAATATCCGAAAAGGCAGTTTTAGAGATCATGTATGTGTTCACCAGGGGCGTGCTCCAGATATGGGAACGAGAGAGGATGGAAATAATGCTTGATAAGGACGTTGGGAGAAATGTAGAGAGAGAGGAGCAGAAGCTACAAAAGCAAATACAGGCAGCAAAGCAGAAAATGGTGATGGCATACCGGGAAGTTAACAATAGTCTCTCTCATTCAGAAGATATCATATATGATGATGATGAGGGTAACGGAAGCACTGTTATACAAGCAAGATTGCAGCAAATTTTTGAGGCCATGGAGAACTTCACGGGCATGTCTGCAAGACTTTATGAAGAGTTGATGCAATCGAATGCTCAAGAGGAAAGAGCCACTGTGGAGCAAGCGGCATAGGTTGGTCATTTTAGTTGGACCCTATACATAAAGCGGGTGTGGGGAGCGGTACGTTTACCTTTTCTGCTTTTCTTTTCACATTTGAGTACCGGATAGAGTAGGGTTCTTGAATGGTACGTACTTGTTTTACAACCAAGTGCTTGCTATCTTGCTACGTGAAGATGGCCGAGCTTTTCTTGTCCTTTAGGTTTACTGCTGCAATGATATGAAGGCCTGATTAAAACAGTTTCAGCAGCAAGTGGAATTTTTGTTGCATCAGTAACTAAGGCTAGTTATATAATATTTCGTGTTTTTTATAAATTTTTTATTAATTTTATCAATACTAATATAAAAAAATACAAGAAATAAAATATAACATTTTAAATATACCCCTTATATAATAAATTCAAAAAATGATAATATATTACTTTTTCTCTTTCATAAAAGCTAATTTTAAAAATATTTTTTAAATATTACCTTAAAAGTCACAATATGATTTATAAATAAGATTAAATAGACCTTTTAAAACCTGTCTTATAAATGAAATTGAAGAGAATATCTTGCTAGACTTTGAAGTGACATAAATCTCATGAATTATCTATATGCATAATTAAAAAATTTTAATGAATTAACAGTGTCTCATGTTTCAAATTTAGATATTTACAAAATTATATTATAAAAGTCATGGATCTTAGATATTTATAAAAGGGAAAATTTCAATGAGGAACTCTTAAAATTTTAAAATTTTACTAAAAGGTCCATACAAAATTTCATTTGAATTTGTTGCTGAAATGATAAAATTATCTTCTTCATTTAAATGAACAATATAAATGACTTGTTCGTTTTCATACTGTATACTATTCATTTACTTACGAAATATTATTTGTTTTCCTACTTCATTTGTTTATAATCCTTCTTTTATTTGATTTCATTCCAAGGCCATAAATAAGTGAAATAGGAATATGAACAATATTTCGTAAGCAAATAAATAACATACTATATAAGAATAAATAAATTATCTTATCATAAAACCAACACTTACAATAAAATTAAGTAAAATTAGGACCATAAATAAATGAAATTAAAAAACAAACAACATTTTATAAATAAATAAACAACATATAATATAAGAATAAATAAATTATTTATGTTATTCATTTAGATAAAGAAACTTTTATCATTTTCAAAATTCTATATGGATACTTTGGTAAAATTTTAAAAATTCAAGGATCATATTTTTTATTATTTGTGGTCAACAATCCCGACTTAAGATTTTCCCTTTATAAAACTCTTTGGATATTCTTGCTCCTCCTTCAGCACATGGTTCAGCCTTGACACTTTCCAATTTCCATCCCTTATCCTCTCGCACTTCGTCACCTAATAAATGACGGAAAGATCTCTTTACCAAAAAAAAAATAAAATGACGGAAAGGTGTGGCTATAATTTAAAACCGTACTCCTCTGCATGTCTTTTCCAGCTGTTCAATCATTCTCCTGAACAAGTCATCTGCTGGTAAAATAAAATAAAATAAACAATTCATATATTACTAAAATTTATCCATGGTAAAAATTAACGTACACTTTACTCTTTACGAATTTAAAATATGTTTAAGCATTATAAATAATATGATGTATGCTAGGAATACTAGAGTCTTAATATATGATTATTATTAATTATATTAGTTAATTGATGACCCTGAATTTTATATAAAAAGTGACACAATGTGTTAGAGGTTGGGAGATTATATTTTACACCAAGAGAGAAGTTAATATGTATAGGTTCTCACTGTTGTATGTGTATTAAAAGTCTCACATTGACTAAATAAAAGACTCTCCTAGTGTATAAATACTAAAAAATAAAGTGGGCTAGTAAAATGAGCTTGAAGGAAAAGTGGGCTCGCGCGTAAGAAATAAGCTAACTTAGGGCAATCGCAGTTAAAATCAACCGATTCCCCCCCCGTGCGAGTTCAAGAGGCCCTGAGTTTCTTTTACCGGATTATTTTTACAAAATAAATAAATAATTATTTTTTTGCTCACCAAAAAATATCAATTTTTGGCTTTCTAGAGTTTGAAATCAAACCATGAACGTTTTGACCATTAACCAGATTAATTTTATGAACGTATTTGTCTCCCTAGCGTTTCCAAACAAGAGCTTAAATGTGTTTTACGTCTGCGTAACCCCCCAACGTTTCCAAACAGGCGTTTAAATGTGCTTTATGAGAGTGCAACCAAGTCTTTAATCTGGTGATTATGAGCCAATGTTCATGTCTCCATCTTCAGGTTATATATAGCCATAGGTGCGGACAGAGTAACTTACTAGCCTCTTAAGTTTTTGGAGCAATTCTCTCCTCCCTCTAGCTTCTGCTACGTTGTTCATGTAAGTTCATTTTTAGTTTCTGCTATTCTAGTTCCTTGCTCCTGTAGGAAGTGCTTGTTTAATCTTAGAGAACTATTGATCCATCGTCCCAGTATGTCAAAATAGTTCTTAAGAACAGTGTCCTTTCGCACACGACTCAAGTAACTCATCATTCACATCTATATTGCCGATACCGCCAACAATCTTAAGAACTAATCAAACCAAATGACATCCAACAGTGCTGAGAATGTCGTCCCTGAAGGTGTACCTAATGGTTCAGCTGAAGATCAATACATCCCTACAGCTATTGCCGTCCCTCTGCCGAGGCCGTTCCCAAAAATATTGAAGATAGAAATCTTTGACGGCAGAAACTTTAAACGTTGGCAAGAACTAGTCTTCACCATTCTTGACATGCATGGTGTAACCACTGCTCTTGCACAATCCGAGCCTCGTGCTGATACTGGTCAAGCCAGAGAGTTGCATGGACTCATCCAAACAAGGTATGTCGACACACTATCATTAGCACTTAATCTGATGATTTGTTCGATATCTATTGTGTCCACAAGGAAGCTTGTAAGATATAAGAGTCTTTGGTGATAAAGTACACTGCTGAGGATGTAGGCAAACAAAAGTTCGTTATGGGAAACTACTATAAATGAGAGATGACCGAGAACAAGGATGTGAAGGACCAAATCAATGAATATCATAAGCTGTTGGAGGAGCTTCGTGCTGAAAACATCAACCTTCTAGATGAGTTCGTTGCTAGGATCCTGATTGAGAAACTATCAGAATCATGAAATGATTACAAACAATAACTAAAACACAAATAGAAGCAACTGTCCTTGATTGACTTGATCACTCACATCATCATCGAAGACACCAACTATAAGGCAGTCTGTGTAGCTCGAACCAGAGAGATGATATCTAAAGCCAACCTAGTGGAGACAAAGCCTCATAACAAGAGGTATGACCCTAAAACCAAAAACAAAAAGAATAGAAAATCTGATTACAAACCCAATGCTTCTAACCCCTCTTTCAAGAAAAAAGAAGACTGTTTTATCTGTGGTAAACTAGGACACTATGCAGCACAGTATATGAAGAGAGCGAACTGTGATAAACCTCGAAAGCTAAATGTAAATTTGGTACAACGAGATGGTGATAGTGATGATGACATCATTGCTACAGTGGTGTCACAATCTCTTGTGATTTCTGATGTAAAAAAATAAGTGGTAGACTCCAGGGCTACCAGGCACATATGTGCTAGCTAAGAGATATTTATCTCCTATGATCCTGTAAAGGAAGGGGAAGACTGTATTTACCTTGTTGATTCCTAAATTACCAAAATTTAAAAAAAAAGGAAAAGTGGTCTTAAAACTTACATCAAGAAAGACTCTGGCTCTAAACGATATTCTACATGTGCCTAAAGTTGGAGCAAACTTAGTATCAGTTGCTCTTTTAGGGAAAGTTGGGGTTAACGTGTCATTTGAATTTGAAAAAATTGTAATGACAAAAAATAATGTATTTGTGGGCAAAGGGTATTGTAATCAGGAACTGTTTGTTTTAAATGTTGATAAAATAAATAAGAATGAATCTTCTAAATATATGCCTATTTATATGTTTGACTCCTTTGATCTATGGCATGCTAGATTAGGTCACGCTAGTAAAGGTTATATAATTAGGATGTGACAACTTGGATTACTTTTTGAAATTAAAATCAATGTTTTTGAAAAATGTGAAGTATGTGCAAAAACTAAACAAAGTAAAAAATCTCATTTTTCTAGTTAAAGAGAATCTAAATTACTGTCTTTAATTTACACTAATTTAAGTGATTTAAAACAAATCATGACTAGAGGTGGTAAAAAATATTATATCACTTTTATTGATAACTTTTCAAGATATATTAAGGTATACTTATTAAGAAACAAAGATGAGGCTTTTGAAAAATTTCTTTTATATAAAGCAGAGGTTGAGAATTAGTTAAACAAAAGGATTAAAATGGTTAGATCTAATAGAAATGGAGAATATGTTTTGTTAAATGATTTTTGTGAAAAAGAAGGAATTATACATGAGATAACACCTCCTTATTCTCCCGAGTCTAATGGTGTTACAGAAAGAAAAAATAAAATATTAAAAGAAATAATGAATGATTTGCTTGTGAGTTCTACTGTGCCTAATAACTTGTGGGGTGAAGCTATTTTATCTACTTGTATTCTACAAAATAGGATTCTTCATAAGAAAATAAAGAAAACACCTTATGAGTTATGGAAAGGGTTTACTCCAAATTTTAAATATTTGAAAGTGTAAGGGTGTCTTGCAAAAGTTTTATTGTCTGATCTTAAAAAGAGAAAAATTAATTCTAAAACTTCTGATTGTATTTTAATTGAGTATGCTAAATAAAGTGCAGCTTATCACTTTTTAGTTTTAAAAAGTGATATTTAGACTAAAACACAATTGTAGAGACTAAGGATGTTGAATTTTTTGAACATATTTTTTTTCTTAAATATTGAGCATATTTCTAAACCCGTTGAGAATTCAAAGTTTGAATAAAATTTAAATAAGGATTTGGTTTTAAGGAGAAGTGAAAGGCAAAGAAAAGAAATAAGTTTTGGAGATGATTTTTACACTTATTTAATGCAAGATGAACTGTTAAATTTTTATGAAACTATTTCTTCTCCTGATGCCAAATTTTGAAAAGAAGCAACTGAAATTGAAATTGAAATTGATTCTTTAAGAAAAAAATAAAACTTGAGTTTTAGCAGATTTGCCCCAAGGAATTAAGGCTATTGGGTGTAAATGAATTTTTAATTAAAAAATAGTTTCTAGATGGTTCAATTGATAAATATAAAACAAGACTTGTGGTTAAGGGTTTTACTCAAAAGAAAAATATAGATTATTTTGACATACTTTCTCCTGTGACTAAAATTTTTTCTATAAGAGTTCTTATTGCTTTGGCTTCAATTTACAAGCTTTTTATTCACAAAATAAATGTTAAAACTGCATTTTTAAATGGTGATTTGAAAAAAAAAATTTACATGGTACAGCTTGAGGGATGCGTGATTCCTGGGCAAGAAAATAAAGTTTATAAACTTGTCAAGTTTTTGTATGACTTAAAACAAGTGCCTAAGTAATGGCATGAAAAACTTGATCAAGTTTTGACAATTGGTGAATTTTCTCTTATTGAAGTAGAAAGATGTGTTTATACAAAGCTTGTGAATAATGGTTGTGTGATTATATGCTTGTATGTAAATGACATGCTAATTTTTGACTCTAATATGTGTGTTGTTAATGAAACAAAAAATTTTCTTTCTTCAAATTTTGATATGAAAGATATGGGTAAAGCAAGGTAATCTTGGGTGTAAAAATTATAAGGAATGAAAATGAGATTTTGCTTTCTCAAGAACATTATGTTGAGAAAATTCTCAAAAAGTTTAGACATCTTGAAAATGCTCCTTTAAGTACTCCTTATAATTCGAGTGTGCAATTAAAAAAGCACAAGAGTAACTCAATTGCTCAATTTAAGTATGCATAGATTATTGGGAGTTTGTTGCATTTGATGAATTTTACTAGGTTTAATATAGCTTATGCTGTAGGCAGATTGAGCATATATACCTACTGTCCAGGCAGTAAACACTAGGAGGTTCTGGTAAGAGTCTTGAGGTATTTGTGAGGTACCATGAATTATGGTATATTGTATAGTGAATTTTTCGCTGTATTGGAAGCATACAGTGATGCTAACTGGATTTTAAATTTAGAAAAAGACAAAATCTACTAGTGGTTATATATTTACTCTTGGTGTTGGTATAATAACCTGGAAGTATGCAAAACAGACAATCAACACAAAATCCTCAAGAGATTCTGAATTTATTGCCATGGAGCTGGTTGGAACTGAGGTTGATTGGTTGAAAAACTTTTTAGCAAGTATTCCAATAGGTGAAAAGGCCACACCATCAGTGTCTTTATATTGTGATAACTAGTCTGCAATAGCAACGACTAAAAATAAGGCCTTCAATGGCAAAAGTAGACATATTCGATTGAGACATAATATTATAAGGCAGTTGCTCAAAGATGTAGTCATCTCAATCGATTATGTAAGATCATAATTAAATTTGGTAGATCCGTTAACTAAGCCCCTGGGGAAGAAATTTATTATTGAAACGTTGAGGGGAATAAGACTTAAGTCTATTTGAAATTAACAATGATGGCAACCCAACCTTTGTGATTGGAGATCCCATGAAGAAGGTTCAATGGGAAAGAACAAGTCACTTGTTAGTTCTACTAGCATTGAATTTGTGTCCTTTCCTATGGCTTGAGAAAGTGCTAGAATACATTGAACGGAGGCTGAGTAAAAGCTCTTAATGTTTTCATAGTCCTTATGGATGGTGTATTCATTGCAAATACACTTGATGAAAACACCTATATAAATGTGGAGTGGGGTCGCTCTTATGAGATCGTGGCGAAATCTCTAGAGCATTTGTCAAAACCAGGCGCGCGCATGGCTGATAACATGCAAAACCGTCATTAACGGCAGAGACTGTGAGGGTATAATCTGATTAATAAGACCTCTAATACATGCTCAAGATCTATTGGTTCAATAACAGAGTTACATTGACTTTTCTATGTGCTAAGTTTTATCAGTTTAGGTTTGGTTTAAGTCGACAAACACTAAATTCAAATTGATTATCCTCCGTGTGAATAACTCAAATGAAAATAGATTCTTTTGACATATGTGGGGGATTGTTGTGTGTGTGTCAAAAGTGTATGTGTGTCAAAAGTCCTACATTGACTAAATGAAGGACTCTCCTAGTGTCTAAATCTAAGGAATGAAGTAGGCTAGTGAAATGAGCTTGGAGGAGAAGCGGGTTCGCGCTCACGAAACAAGCTAACTCAGGCCAATTGCAGTTGAAATCAACCGATTCGCCCCCCCCCCCGCGCGAGTTCAAGTGGCACTGGATTTCTTTTACCGAATTATTTTTACAAAATAAATAAATAAATAATTATTTTTTTACTCACTGGAAAATCTCAATTTTTGGCTATTTGGAGTTTGAAATCAAACCATGAATGTTTTGACCATTAACTAGATTAATTTTGTGAACGTATTTGACTCCCTAGCGTTTCCAGACAAGAGCTTAAATGTGTTTTACATCTGCATAACCCCCCAACGTTTCCAGACAGGTGTTTAAATGTGCTTTATGAGAGTGTAACCGAGCCTTTAATTCGGTGATTATGAGCCAACGTTCATGTCTCCATCTTCAAACTATATATAGCCATAGGTGTGGACAAAGCAACTTACTAGCCTTTCGGGGCAATTCTCTCCTCCTTCTAGCTTTTGTTGCATTGTTCATCTAAGTTGGTTTTTAGTTTTTGTTGTTCTGGTTCCTTGTGCCTACAGGAAGTGCTTGTTTAATTATAAGAAACTGTTGGTCTATTGTCCCGATGTGCCAGAATACTTCTTAAGGATAGTGTCCTTCCGGGCATAACTCAAGCAGCTCATCGTTTACGTTTATATCGCCGGTACCGCCAACACTCACTTCTCAGCTCAAGGTTCGTAATCCCTCGAAGAAGCTTTTTTTTGGTAAATCACCCCCGAAGGATCGATAAATGTTGTTGATTTGTTCTGTAATACATATATATATCATGGTTTGGTGTCTTTTTATAAAGTGTTTCCATTTTATTTCATTTTACACAAGTCAACAATATCCATAATAAAATATGTTAAAATGAGCTTTCATTTTTTATGAACTGATCATATATTAGTGTGGTATGGGCTTACATCCATAATAAATAAGTAGCTGAGAGTTTGGCATTCAGCCTGAATAGAGGCAATTAGTTCTCGCTACTGGTAATTAAGGTCACTTATAATATCTCAATAAAAAAAATAAAAATACATAACTGATTTGCCCCATTTTAAGAAATTCGTTCTTCACTTAAGTAATAACTCAGGAACTTTTTGAATCGTTTCAAGGGATATTGAACAACCTACTGTTTAACCCTCCTGAATAGCCGCATGCTGATATCATTATTAGTTTGCATCACTCGAAATACTTGCTAATTCTTGGTTAAAAAAAAGTTAAAAACACAATATATATATATATATATATATATATGAAGAAGAAACAAGTTCAAACATATTCGGGGTACCGTCTCGTGTGGCTGCGAGAGGGGCCGGTTTTATTATTAGTCAGAGGATTAATTAAAAGACGAGGGACAACATTAATAAAGACAATGCCGACAATTCTGCTCAGCCGCCGTAGGCCCCATGGTGGTCCCGGCTGCTGCTTTGAAATTCCAAGCAAACAAGCCAATGGCCAGTTGAACAGGCGCTCAATCAAGATCAGCCCCCGTTACTGGCTCGTTCTATATAATGCAGGTCTCGTGTCCCCATTCTCCACATATACATCAAATCCAACAGATGGAGAGCACTAACGACAAGATGTGGCTAGTCCTTAGTGTGCTGCTGTGCTTCACGGTCGGAGGATTAGCGGAGCAGTGCGGCAGACAAGCAGGGGGTGCCTTGTGCCCCGGCGGCCTCTGCTGCAGCCAATTCGGTTGGTGTGGTTCCACAACCGAATATTGCGGTCCTGGTTGCCAGAGCCAATGCGGCGCTGCCCCTCCACCCGGTGGCCTCAGCGGCATCATCTCCAGGGACACCTTCAACCAGATGCTCAAGCACCGCGACGACGGTGCCTGCCCGGCCAGAGGCTTCTACACCTACGATGCCTTCATTCAGGCCGCCAAGTCTTTCCCCGCCTTCGGCAGCACCGGCGATGTTGCCACGCGCAAGAGGGAGATCGCGGCTTTCCTCGGTCAAACTTCCCACGAGACCACCGGCGGTTGGCCCAGCGCTCCGGACGGTCCTTATGCCTGGGGCTACTGCTTCAACAAGGAACGAAATCCACCGAGCGCTTACTGTGAGCCCAAACCTCAGTATCCGTGTGCTCCCGGCAAGCAATACTATGGCCGCGGACCCATCCAACTCTCCTGGTATGTATACTGTATAAACTGCAAGATATCTCATCTGTCTGCATAATTTAATTGTTTTGATCTATGGCTGCTGCACCCTGACTGAATAACAGGAACTACAACTACGGACAGTGCGGAGGAGCCATAGGAGTGGACTTGCTCAACAACCCTGACCTGGTGGCGAGTGATGCGGTCATATCCTTCAAGACAGCACTGTGGTTCTGGATGACGCCGCAGTCGCCGAAGCCATCGTGCCACGACGTCATCACGGGGAGATGGTCGCCCTCAGCCGCTGACAGGGCTGCGGGTCGACTTCCGGGATACGGAACCACCACTAACATCATCAACGGAGGGCTAGAGTGCGGAAGAGGACAGGACTCGAGGGTTGCGGATCGCATTGGATTTTTCAAGAGATACTGCGACATTCTAGGTGTGGGCTATGGCTCCAACCTCGACTGCTATTCCCAGAGGCCATTCGGTTCTTCCTCACTCGTCGACGCCATCTAAATTCTTCTCTTCTCATCCCATCTCAACCAATAAATGATTTCGATACCTGTCTCTTCAACCCTGTTTGCTGTACCCGTGTTGGAGTCTCATCTCATCTCATCTCATCTCTGATCGTAATAAATAAATTCAGCTCTTGCTGGACCATATGCAACCTTCGGAACCGCGTGATATTATTAGTGCATCCTAATTATTATTTCAAACTAATTTTATTATTTTTACAGAGTGTTCAGATTATGTATTTATTAAAATAATTTTTCAAAATATAGAAGTAAAAAAAAATTCTGGATCATCTTTGGTGCCCATCGCCATTGATAAGCATCAAAACTAATTGTTGACATCATTTGATTGTTACATGTATTCCGATTCCGTCTTAATAAAATTTTTATGTACGTTACCAGAGGGGGAAAACTAGAGTTTTATCTTTTTTCTCTTTTTTTTTAGATTTATATTATTTTTTAAAAACTAATCATATTATTTATAACCTATCAATCATGTTATTAGTCATAAATTTTATTGCACACATTCACACATTTATTGACGTGATATTATATCAACATATTATATTAAAATAATAAGTACATTGTTGTTGCACATGTCATCAAACTGTAGAAGTCAAAAGTTGGTGGTGCGTTTAATAAAGTTAGAAAATTGGTTCAGTCTAATCTTTTGACGCTCTGATGCGGTGCACTTGGGGGGCTTTCCCGGCTTCACGCCACCTGTCGTTGATCCTAGGATGGGCTTCCCTTGACACGGACAACTTCTTTCTGCTCCATTTTTAAAAGGAACGACAGTTAATTTTTTTTTTAAAACATAGTAATAGTTTGGTTTTTAATAATTAAAAATATTAATTAAACAATTTTAAAATTTAAAATTCTAATTATAAAATAAAATATTTAAATTTTAAATATAATTTTTAGTAGGCAACCAAAATTGCTATAAGCAAACTAACATTTATATTTCATTTTTTTTCAAAAAAGTTATTAAAATTTAATTATCGTTAATGCTCTCTTTCAGGATTTGACTGTCATTCCATTTTTCCCCACTTTTCTACCGTTTGTAATGGAAAAGAGATTGGGAGAATATCAATAATTGGCTCTGCCTGATAACGAGGACTCCAAACTAGTAATGTCCACATTTTTTTTTCTTTCAAAGGCAAGAACTGCGTACCATTAGAGAATATTTGAGTTACTGTTACACTGTAAAATGCAAAATACAGGTAATTAATTAAAACAGCAGAGAAGATCCGGGATCAGGGAGATGCGAGCGTGGTTACTAGAAGAATTAATTAACTCCATGACAACATTCATGAAGATAATGCCGACAAGTCTGCTCAACCGCCGTAGGCCCCACAATGCATCATGTTCAGCCTCTCCGCTCGAATCAGCGAGCTTTCCTCCAGATCAACCTTCTATCAGAGTTCAATAAAGAGGAGGTCAAATCCAAAATACGCAGAGCATTAACAAGATGTGGCTGTAGTGTTGTGTGTACTGCTGTCGTGGTTCTCAGCGGGAGGGTCAGCAGAGCGATGCGGAAGACAAGCAGAAGGTGCCTTGTGCCCCGGCGCTCTATGCTGCAGCCAATTCGGTTGGTGTAGCCCCACATCTGAATACTGCAGTTCTGGTAGTTGCCAAAGCCAATGTGGCGATGCCCCTCCGCCGGCTGACCTTGCCGGCATCATCTCCAGGGACACCTTCAACCAGATGCTCAAGCACCGCGACGACGGTGCCTGCCCGGCCAGAGGATTCTACACCTTCGATGCCCTAATTCAGGCCGCCAAGTCTTTCCCAGGCTTCGGCAGCACCGGGAATGCTGCCACGCGCAAGAGGGAGGTCTCGGCTTTCCTGTGCCAAACTTAGCACGAGACGACCGGCGGTTGGCCCAGAGCGCCTGGTGGGCCCTACGCCTGGGGCTACTGGCAACTGCTTCAACAAGGAACCGCATCCGAGCATCAATTTCTGTGCCCCCAGCCCACAAAATCCGTGTGCTCCCGGCAAGCAATACTATGGTCACGGACCCATCCAACTCTCCTGGTATATATGCAATACAAGATATCTCGTCTGTCTGTCTGCATAACTTCAATTTATTTGATGTTGATGGCCGACGAGTGAATGATATATAGGAACTTCAACTACGGACGGTGCGGAAGAGCCATAGGAGTGGACTTGCTCAACAACCCGGACTCGGCGGCTAGTGATCCCGTGATATCCTTCAAGACAGCACTGTGGTTCTGGATGACGCCGCAGTCGCCAAAGCCATCGTGCCACGACGTCATCACGGGGAGATGTCGCCGTCAGCCGCTGACAGGGCGGCGGGTCGACTTCCAGGATACGGAACCACCACCAACATTATCAACGGAGGGCTGGAGTGCGGGAGAGGGCAAGACTTGAGGATCGCGGATCGCATTGGATTTTTCAAGAGGTACTGCGACATCCTGCGTGTAGGCTATGACTCTGACCTCGACTGCTGTTCCCAGAGGCCATTCGGCTCTTCCTGACTCGTCGATGCCATCTGATATCATCTCATTTCTGTTACTAAATAACATCTATATAAGTCCTTGGCCCTGGATATGATGTACCAGAGTTGCGTCTGGAAGCTGTTGGGCTGTCTCCTCCCTGATGATGAGATCTTGTTTAATTAATAAATTCACCTCTTTCCTCTAGTCCTTCCCATTTTCATTTTCCCATCTGTCTAACAGTTCACACACTTGTAAACGAGTCCAGATCCATGACTAGTTTCTTTCTTTCTGGCGCTTATCAAGTCATTTAGGTGTAATATTTCCGAACCATATATATATAAAACCTACAGAGCCTCCTGATAGTATTCGTGCGTCCTAATTAATTTCAAAACGGTGGTGGTGGCTAAAACGGACATTTCCACCTCCTCTTTTTATGCAAGAAAAAAAATGGTCTTTTGAGTTTTGATTAAGTAGGTTAACCCCTAACCAGGAAGTAAATAAAAGGCCGGCGATTCCAGGGGCATCAAAACTTGTACATAGTCAAGCATTCGAAGTGCAAAAGAGCGAATGGGACTCTATATTATTATAGGTATAGGAACGTTTGAAATCCAAAATTTATTAAATATACAAAGTTTTTTTTATTTGACTTTTACAATTAATACAAGTTAATTTTAATTATTAATTAATTAAAAAATATAAAAAATAAATTTTTTTAGAATAAAATTTAACTATTAAATGTACAATTAATACAATAAAATTTTAACTATTTATCTTTTTTGTAATTTTTAAAGTTATTTTTTGTCATTTTGTTGTCAATTAAAGGTAAAAGTTAATTTTTATTAATAATAAAAGTTAAATTGTACTGTTTATAAAAGTTAAAAAAAATATTACACATTTAATGAGTAAATTTTCAGGTGCTTTTGAATTTATAATTTAAAAATTAATCTATTTTTTTACTCACATTTTAAAAAAATATATGAAAAAGCAAGGATCCTCAAGTTCGCGTACTGAGAGGCTTTTGCCCTGTTGATCTCAGGGTGACCGGATGAGCCACCAGCCGACCATCAATAAGCATTCGTTCCACATGCTAAAACCAATCATTCTCCAAGATCCCCACCTTCTTTTGGAGGTGTCAATTAAAATTCACCCAATCTTTAAAAAATTAAAATTTAAATGAATTGATCTTTTTAAATTTAATTATATTTTAAAACTTTATTTTTAACAGTTCAACTTTGATTCTCAAGATCTCAGTCCTAATTATTTTTAAAATTTTTTACTTTAAAAAATTTTAAAAAATATTTTAAATTCTAATAAAATTGTTACACATCACATTAAGTCTAGAAAAATAAAATAAAATTAATTTACATAATAAAAATTTTAAGTCTGATAAAAACATAATATTTCAAAATCAACTCCAATATTAATTATACATTGTTAGCATCATCAGCTAACTTTTGATAATTTTCATCATCATCAATATCAATATGATTTGACCTTTCTCCTTGTGAATCCTCATCTATAACAAATATGTTAAGTTTTTCATATCTTCCTTCTTCATCCTCATTATTTGCAATACATAATAAACCAAAATCATAATTTTAAAGTATTTAAAGAATGTAAAAATATTTAAAGTAAGCAAATAACAATATGTGTGTCCACTATTTGGATTAGAGAGTGAGTGATGTACTTAAGTGATGTGGTGTCTTCTTTTTATTTGTTTATATTGTTTTTTATAAAAAAAATATATATTAGGGTTTAAAGGGCAGGTCTTGATCCTAAATGGCCAGCCTTTTTATTTTCGAGTTCTTTTAAGTCCAATTTATCTTTTTAAAGGTTAAAGTATCGGCCCAACTCTTAATTTTTTCAAGTTTAAAAGGGTGGGCCTACAGGCTTGGCCCTAATTGATAGATTTACCTTCTCCCATCTTAATATATATATATATATATATATATGTATGTATGTATGTATATTATAAATATAGTTAATATATATTATTAACTTTGACAATTAACTTTAATCATTAGTTGATTAGAAAATAATTTTTAAAATTTTAAAAAAGGATTAATAATTTTTCTTGTCATTTATGTAATTTTTTAGATTTTTTTATGATTTTTTGTTTTTTATTTTTATCTTTTGATTATTTTCTATAATTTTTGAAGCCATTTTCTAGTTAACGCATCGTTTTCCAAATTTGAAGAAGAATATTATAATAAAAATAAATTTAACATTCTAAACACTCATGAACCTATAATTTAGTAGTCAATTTACCATTTAACCTTGATGTCAAAAAACATATTTAAATTACTATAAATAATCTAAGTTATTTTAAGCTATATTTTTATATTGTCTATTAATAATTTAAAAATATATTTTAATAAATTAAGTATATTTAAATATCTAATAATTGGATGCATATACATTAATAATATATTAGCTATATTTATAATATGTGTGTATTCATATATATCATGATGGGAGGGGGGTTGGGATTTTGGAGAATGCTTATGTGGAATGGGTGATTCGGATTGGTAGAATTACATTTAAAGATCATTTAAAAAATTTATTTACAAATAAGAATTAATATAAAATGAATTATTGTTAATATGAGAATATTGACTTTTTTTTTGAAAAAAATTTATTGTTAGTTATTATCTGTGATTAATTTACTTGAATAGCTCTTTAATATAATTCTTCCTTTAAAATTTGAGGATAAGCAAGTAATAAGGCAAACTCTGTTTAATTAAAAAAAAAAAAAGGAATCGACAGACAACTTGGCTTGGTACAAACCAAGTTATGTGTCAGTTTAACTATCAATCAATTCAAGAACTCGGTTTGATACTAGTAAATTTGAGGATGCGTAGTGTTAAGGTAAATAGTTTAGAGAATGTAGCATTTGGGTAATTTTATTTTTTTCATATGGCACCGGTGTCAATTTTCCTGCACAACTTGCTAGCTGACCAGTCTAATTCCGTAGTAGCCAAAATCATATGCAATTTAACCACGGTACTATTAGAAAAAATTATTTATTAATATGTTATACTTTTAATTTTTTTTAAATACTATAAATTTAAAATTCAGTTTTAATAAGACTGAGTTTCAATTTTTTTTATAGGAAAGTACATATTTTTATTTCTATCAAATTTAGTTCTATATTTATAATTTTTTTATAAAAAAAATTGATGTGACAAGCATGGTTGATTATGCTTGCCACTGCCCCACCTCAACGTATGATTGCACTTTACAATTCTCCTTTCGTTCTTTGCCGATCGTCCCTCCCCTCTCGCATTGGTGTGTGATGTATTTGGATTGTTTTCTTGGGCCAACATATGTTTAGATGTTTATATATATATATATATATATAAAATAACTATAATATTAATTTTATAATTATAATTATACAAATTATACGTTTCAAAAACTATACTCCCACAACTTATTATTATAAGATATTTTTGATCTAATTATATTCTTGTTAAATTAATTAATTATTTTAAAATTATACACTATTTTCATATTTTTTATTTATTTAATAAATATAAGAGTACTCTTCTGCTTCTATTTATAAGCTAAAGATAAATTATTTATTTTGGTCCTATTCATATGATACTTTAATAATTATCATGCCAATCTTACTTTTTTACTCTTATTAAATATTTGAAAGTTTATTAAATATTAAGGTATTTTATTTTTAAAGTATGTATATTTAACAGTAATAAAGTAAGAAACTTATAGAATTTTTAAATAAAATTAATAAAGTTTTTAAGTTTTTTCTTGATTTTGGTAAATACATTGGGAGCCACTTATAAATAGATAAATAAAAAAAATACTCTTAATTATGAATGTAATTAATAATGTTCTTCATTTGAGATGTCCTATTAAATAAATACAAATATGGAAAGAGTCTATAATTTTAAGATAATTAATTAACTCATCAATAATATAATTAGATTAACAATATTTTATAATAATAAGATAATTAAAAATATTTTATAATAATAAGGCGTGAGTGTAATCATATGTTGAGATGGGATAGCAGTAGGCATGACTTGTCACATCAGTTTTTTTAAAAAAATTATAAATATCGGAGACGGTTTGAAAGAAATTGAGTTCTATTTTAAAACTCGATGTAATTAAAATTGAATTTTAAATTTATAATATTTAAAAAATATTTTTAAAAGTATAGCTTGTTGGTCAAATTACCTTTGTGTGTTGATAAAATAAATTGATATGTTGATTTTGATTTTGGAACAGGATGCGGATGTCACATGTGATCAGCTTTGGAAGTCAAAAGTTGGCGGGGCAGGTTTTCAGCGAGTAAGAAAATCGTAATCTTTCTGAGTTTTTCGATGCCGTGCAGCGGGAAGCTTTTCTCAGTAAGAAAACCGTACGCCATCCTATTGTTGATCCCAGCATTATAGCTTCCCTTGACATGGCTTCTCTTTCAATGGCACCAGGTACAGTACAATTAGCCAAGATTTAAGTGAATGTTACACTGCATTTTGTGTTTCTGGGGGTAAAGAGCAAAACATAGGTAATTGGCTTGAAGCACACAGCACTGGTGTATAACGGGGTGTCTGGCTTGTGTTGCTGTGATTCAATCTTGGAAGATTGGAATATACTAATATCGTGAGCATCATCGAAAAGGAAAAGGAATACGAAGGGGATTCTTGTTGACGGGAGCCAAATTTCGAAGGACCAATTATGATTCGCTTTCGTCAATGAAGAGACAGTTACTCTGTATCGACGGTAGCCACTAACTAAACTTCGATATTCAATAATCGATATTCTCTATATCCCCTTGCCCCCATCGCCTGGCTTCATCCTTTCCTTCTGCTTTTTCGCTCCCGGGAAGAAGATCCAATGCTCACCACCATTTTTTGGGTTCATGTACTTGGGGTTCTATATATGAAATGTTTCGCATTCGAGTCATCCCGCTGGATTTAAAAAAAGAGAAAAAGAAAAGGGCATCTTGATTTTCCAAAATATTTTCAATGTATATGACTTCACCGAGATTTCATCTGCTACTACCATTACTCGTGATCCCCTGATTTGTAAATTACTATGAAATTTTCAGCCACTCACATTTTAGATGTTTCCAGGTGCATGAACCACCATAATTTTATTGATTTTTAATTTTTTGAGAGTTTACTAGAGTTACAGAAAATTTATCAACTTAAAAATGTTTGTAAAATACTTATAAATTACTCAATAATAAGATTTAAAAAAAAAGAAGGCAAATATAAAAAAAAAATAAAACCAGAAATGTACAATAATAGTTTAATTTCCGGCTGAAGGTCCGAAAGTAAGGTAGGATGGAAGCTTAAAAGGATCCTCGTATCAGTGGACACGGTGTGATAACAAAGTCGGGTTCACTCAACTGAATTGTGGGTAATTTCAGGATAAGATATCCACCGGTTTCGTCGTTTTAAGTTAAAAGGTATTCGAATTGTACGCATGTGGATTGGAGAAGGCCTCCATATGGCCTTGAAGATAAGCCAACAAGCCCATTTACAGAGAGGGCCGTGAGAAGCTATGACCCTCTCTTGGGCTTTTCAATTTAGTTTCCTAAAACCAACAGGCTAGCGGATGGGCTAATTCCTTAAAAATACTGAATTGAGATTCCATTTTTTATAGAAATGTTGACATGGTACCTCAAAAAAGACTACCAAAAGGATATATGTGATCACCAAAAACCAAAAGCAAAAAGAAAACTAAATGCCGCTCATCCGCTGGCTGCAGCTAACCAAAAAGAGAACTCACTGACTTACAAATTTTATATTTAGAGTTTTGACATTATTTTTTGGAAAAAGATTTGTGAAAGTTGAAATTAAATTGAAAGCCGATATGGCCAAATTATGTAAATCGCGGAGCATATGAAGAGGGGAACACTGGAAGAAGGCATAAAAAGGCGTCAACGAAGCGATCACCCGTTTTCTTTTCTTTTTTTCTTTTTATTTTTTTAAAATTAGCAAGGTAAACAATACAAGAGTGTTCAATTCAACCTTAGCGCCGGATATTTAAGGGAACATAAAAGTTGATAGGAGAAACAAATGAAAAAAACAGAAATGGGGTTGAAGGAAGGAGGGAGCGAGAGCAGAAAATGGTAAGATAGCATGTACAAAAATAAGGATGGAGAGATGACGGGTTAAAAAAAAAGAAGAAAGGATGGATCCGGAGGGAGTAATTAGAAGTTGAGGAGGGTGGGGGAGAGTGCAGATAACCAAGAACTGTTGTTAGTTTGAGTCCAGAAGGGGTCTTGGTTCCAGTCCGCGGAAATGACGGGAAGCTGGAGGTCGGGGATTTTGTGGTCTTGAAAGCTCTCAGGCTCCGGCGTTTCTTGCTTGAAAACCACCTGCCGGGAATGTTGCGTGGGGGTGTCGGCGGAGCTGCAGGGCGAGATGCTGTCGAGCTGCTTCATCTCCTCTTCCTGCGCCGCCCTCAGCTCCAACACCTTCAAGGACGTCGCCTTTCTGTATATCTTGCACAGCACCACGTCCTTGGGGAGCTGGCAGGAGTCTGGCAGGCGGTACTCATTCATCACCCAGTCCGTCTTGGACCCGCGGGGGGCTCTGCCGCTGTAGAAAACCAGGGTCTTCCTCAGCCCGATGAGGCGTTTCGGCTCGGACAAGCTTATGATTTTGCGGTCCGAACCGGTGGCTTTCCAGAACCCTTTCTGGGTGGTCCGGTTGGGCCTGCCTCCGCTGCCGTGCTTCTTGTCCCTCGGCACAAAGAAGTACCATTCTCTTTCTCCCACCTTGGCAAGACCTGCAATCATGAATATGAGGGATATGCGGAGACGTGGGTGGATATATGGACTGGATGAATATGAATATGAATATGAATATGAATATGAATATGATAGACGCGTACCGGGCAAGTCCCAGGGATCGTGGTGATAGATGTTTAGGAAACCGATGATGTCGAAGCGCAGCTTCTTGCCGAGGATGGTGTTCTTGAGATAGAAATCGAGGAGTTCTTCTTCAGTGGGGTGGAATCGGAAGCCTGGCAGTTCCACATCCGCCGTCGACGTCATTTCACTCATGTCCCTTCTTCACTTCCTACACTCTCGCTCTCCTCTTTGCTTCAGTGCATGTGAGAGCCCCATAGCACCTTATGCTCTTTATAAACAAACCCATGAAGCCCATGAATATTGGCAACCTCGGACTAGACTGTGAGGCTATCTTGATCGTCCATTGATCATCAACGAACGCTCCTGATTATTCCAATTGAAACATGTCTTTTTTGCCCCTTTCCATCGTTAATTAATTAATTAATTTTATTTTTTTTGTTCTTTTAAGTGGGGTGACTGACCGGGTCGTCCCTCCTGCAAAGGTCTGTTTAAATGTTGACTCGTTAAGCAAAATCTGAGTATGACGATGACGATGGTTAGGAGTGGTAGGACCCACGCGGCATTGCCTTAATTAAATCTCTGTGGGGTCCTTGACTTGCCTTTGGACTCTTCCCTGGAATTTCCTCCGATTTGCTGTCACATGCATTCCCCTCTTCCGAATGCATTCCATCAGATTTGCGAAGAACTTCTATTGTTCAAACTATTTGAATACATGCTTTCTTTAATCATTTATCTCAGCCCAAGCTTCTGTCATTAAATTAAAATGGATTTTAAATACTGTGAGCAGATTATAGAATTAAACAAAACATATCCATACCAAATTCCCACAAATTAACGCAGAGACATATATAGTAAGAAAGAGTGACGATATATACATAACATAGATTTGACGAGAAATAAAAAACGCAAAGGCTGGAGAGTTTGAAATAGAAATATATAGTATAAGCATTTCCCAAGCTCCTGGGCTCTTCCCGCCTTGTGGTTGGTCAAGAGAATATGCGGGTGCCATTTATGACATACACACAATTCTTGCCAGGTTGTCGATCGCACCATCGTCTCTCAAACCTTGTGGATCCAAATCCTCTGTTAAACTTGGTCTGTAATTTTGCATCGAATTACAGACGAAACGATGAGTGCCAATACGCTGTTTCTTCTAGGCATATTGATTCTCGGAATCGTACCCGCCTGCCAACCGTGTAAACTGGCGATTTTTTATGATAGGCGAATGAAATTGAAGATCAAGTGTCGTTCCCATTAATTTTTCCGACGCGAATAAATAAAGTGATGATTTATTAGTTGGATGTGAAACTTTTAGACAAGTGCTGAATTTACTTTTTCAGTAAATACCATTTCTAAACGTTTCCGACCATGGACTTATTGATAATGCATGCACTGTTGTATATGCTCTGCTTGCAAAGAATAATATACATGATCAACATGTACACCATGTGACATGTCATTTTAGAAACATTTGCGATATTAACGTTATAATTTTTTTTATCCGTTAAAAAATATGGGGCCTGGGAATAAGATGAACAGTGCAAACTAAGTTTTTGAGTATATACAAAAAGTAAAATATATATATATATATATATATATTGGCCATGCATCTCTTATGTCACATTTAAGGAAGTTAGATTGGACTTCAAGATTAACCTTTCGTTTGGATAAGGGAAAAATATGGAGAAAAGAAAATTAGGGGAGAAAATTAATTTTTTTTTTTTAAATTCTAGTGCTTTTCTCTTCTCCCTACTTTTCTCCCCATCCAAGCCTAAAACAATTTAATTTACGAGGGAGGTGCATGCTAACAAGTTGTAAAAAGGGACAGAATCAGAGCATGTGATTGCTGGAAAAGAGACGAACGGGTCCGAATTACTGATTTGGGCGATGGTTGACGAAGTCAATTTGTTGGATCTTGTGGGAGCGAAGACAAAACAAAAACATAGAACTTGGAAGAAAGAGGATGCATGGTGGGTTTTTTTTTCCAAAGAGATATGATTCTCAATTCAAAGGCATATACGCGTTTGCAACATTATTTTCGTCTCTCCAAGCTCCATATTCTCTCTCTCTCTCTCGCAAACCATGATGTATGATAAAACGATTTGACTTGGAAGTCTTGCGCCAAGACTTGGAAAGTCTTTCTCCATTTGAAGTGAGTTGGTTGTAGAGCTTTTATCCACGTAGCACGTTATACAGAAACTAGGGCTAGCTGTTACTTTATTTTATATGAATAATAGGATTTTCATTTGCCGTTTGGAATTCTGTATATCTTGAACTAAGACCACATCTTGATAGTATGGACCATATTGTTGGTAGTTTATAAATAGTATGAGATTTTTAATCACTTTTTGATAAATATATGCTGATATGTGACATTGATGATGATGATGAGCCTCCATAAGTGATCGAACTAGACAATATTTTGGAGCAGCATGTGATATCTTTTAGCAAAGTAATGGGATGATTTGTATTGGAGTACGTAAGTGCACACTAACACTTGTTAATGGAAGTAGCTTCCTCCGCTACTTCCTCGAATTTTCTCAAGTCCTCTGCTTCAGTATTTACTGGTGCCTTCAACTGCATTTCTTTTTTTAAAATGGATACATTACAAGCAGACAAGTACGTACATACACATCTCACGGGAAATTTCGTGGTACCCTTTTGACACATCCTACTATCTGCCCATAGTTCACATTTAATTTGGCAAACAAATGATCTTTTTCATTGTACTGGCCACCCTTTAACACAAAGCTCTCCGCACCTGCAGCTTGTCCCCATCAATCTCACCAAACCAAAACAATTTCCTCACTCCTTGCCCCCCTTGTTAATTGAATTAACACCAACCCCTGCGATATATATATTGCACAGAGGATATTATAAAATTACTAAAGAAAAACTGCATGCCATGATTTAAAACTGTAAACGACGTGTCAACATTTAATTTCAATTATATATGTCAGAATAAAAATATGTTGATAGTTGGGTCTCCTAATTTATGAGTTGCTCTGCATGTAAATGAATTCATTTGAGTTTGTTTACAATTATTAATTATAAAAACGAAATTGCATGGACAATCATTTTCTTGTATTCCGTGGAAAGTATAATTGCAAGACTTGACTGTAGGAAAATTGATTTTGCGAGTGAAGACATGTCAACGCATGAAGAAATTGAGCGGTTGGACTGGGTCTCCCCAACAATATTTCCAAGATGCTTAGCTCGTACTTCATAAATTTATTTTGAAAATAAAGAATTTTTTTATTTACAATCATTAGAAACAAAATTAAAATATTATAGTATGTTTAGATAGATAATTAATTTTTATTAATTAACATGATTCGATTAAAGAGGGAATGGAGTTGTATGTCCACATCTCACCATAGAAGTCAGGGACATTTCCAAAACCACTTCTTGTGTCTCCACTTCTATCCCAAATGTCAATCAAAATTTCACCAACACGTTTTTTTTTTTTTTGAAAAATGTTAATTAAAAACTCTAAGACAATTAGACAACCAATATAAAATGAGGGCATATTTATAACTGAATTTTTTAAATTTACAAAATTAAACATTTGTATTTACAATGTAAAGGTCGATATTTTACATTAATCTCCTTATAAGATCTTTAACTGTCTTTTTTTATTTTTTATATTTTTTTTTTGCAAAATATAAGGGACTTACGGTAAATTCAATTATATATATATACATATACACACCTATTCCCTCTCATAATACCAGCATGCTATGCTTGTAAAACGCAAGTAATCTTGAATGGGTGACCACCTGTAAGAAAATGGAACGGCTCCCCAAACCATCCCATCAACAAGCAACTCGTCCCACTTACAATTTTATCTTTTCAATAGAAGTTCAAGACGGCGCTCAATCAACTTTTGCGAGCTCAAGGCAAAATGTTCTTGAGGATTCTTATGTTTCTTATGCCTCCAACTGCTTGTTCAGAACATTCAGTGAACTCGGATAAATTTTAGGAGAAATCACACTACAGACCTCAACTCAAAAGAGCAAAAAATTACACTACAAACCCAATAGATTCTGTTATTGCAGTGTTGGCCCAAAGGCTCTTGTTACAATTTTTCTTAAGAGCAAAAATACAATTTTACCCCTATATAATTTGAAAACTCAAATCATGCACAATACAATGCCTGTCAATGCACAACATAATGTCTATATATGTTTAATTGATCAATAGATTTAATAAAATATATAAGTGACGCACACAATATACAACACAATATTTATACATTTTTCAACTAGGTGTTCAAGCATGGATACACATAAACATTGTATTGAGAATTTATAAATACCATGTTGTGCATTTATGAACATCATGTTATGTATCTATAAATATTGTGTTACACATACTTTACATGAATTTATTTTAATTAACCTATAGATCAACTGAACATATATAAATATTGTGTTGAAAATTCATGAAATCATATTGTACATGCTCTGTGTGATATATATTTTAACATACAAATCAATTGGACATGCATGAATATGTTATTGTACATCCATGAACATTGTATCGTACATCATAAGGGCAAAATTGTACTTTCGTGCCTAAAAAATTGCAACAATAGCCTTCGGACGTACAATGCAATATCAGAATATATTGGGTTTAATTAAAATTTTTTTGCTGATTTAAGGCCTGCAGTACAATTCTCCCTAAATTTTACTAGTAAATTTAGCATTATATCGAATTGACTCACTTTCCACTTCACTTAAAGCCAGATGAATGGAATGCCTGCCATCCAGCACCACTCAGTTGAGACGCTGTACTTGCATCCACATTCATCATACATAACCACCTAAAACTAGCTTTCAAGGTAGGTTACATTAGAGCAGATTATTAACGAACCTTACAAGAATATTTTTTTAAATTTAATAAATTTAAATGTCGGGTCCTTAGCCAACAAAATATTAATAGTCACCGGATGGATGCCCTCCAATGAGCAACAAGCAGGCCCAGCATTTTGTTCATTGTAAGCGCGCTTCCCCAAAACACCGCTTCAATATGGTCACTGCCATTGCTGGACATTCAACTGTTGATATTCCCTATTATGCTTTGACTTTACAGATGCCATGCTGATACCACAGTGAAACAAGATTGCACCCAACTTCATTCACTGGGAAGAAACAAGATCAATAGGTTCAAATTAAAGCTTCAGTTATACTGCTGAAGGATGAAACCTAAGCCTCTAAACATGAGGTAAGCGCATCTAGGAAATCGGTCACTGTGGTTCTGCTAACCATGATCACGTTGGTAGCTTACCACTTTCCTTCCTTTAGATTAATTTAATACTATCCATAAAGCAATATTGTGTGTGTGTGTGTAAGGATATCATATGGAGCAACTAACCTTATCAATAGATAGATGGTACTCAATGCTCATATACATCAACTTTTTGTCTGTGAGGCAAGTCGAGTTTGAGCAACTTGGTGAACTACCGCATGCATCAACATGCATGAAGGCAGTCAGTAATTGTAGCAGGGTGCTCAAAAATCAAGAGAAGACAAAATAAACTACAGTTATTTCAAGCAGCAGATGGTCCGTAGAAATTAACAATTAGAGCTCGGAGTCTAAACATGCAGATGCACACCAGAACCTAACCTGAGATGTCTTGAGTTCTAGCTCATCCCACTCTAAGTAAGGATTGCTTCCTTCCACTATACCTGTTCCAGCATATATCCATGCTCCCATATCCTATGAAAAAGTCTTGTCAACGTCACCATAGTAAGAATAGCATGACCAATTTTGCTAGTGTCCACATTCCGAAAGTTCAGATATATGTAACTGTTAAATCTTATGATAAATTTCCTGAATCAGTGAAAACTTAAGAGGTGATTTTTCTTTTCAGATTATGAGAAGGCCAAAATGATAATTATAAGTTTGAAATAATACCAACATATAATTTTTCTCATCATGTGGAACAAAGCACTCTTGAAAGTGGTATTTCATGATCTCTGAGATGCTTTCTCTTCAAATAGTAATTTGACACAAATCAATAAATTGATTTGCAACTAAGTTTACAAAATTTAGTATATAAAATTGAAAAAAATCTTATTAATTTATTCATCAAGCGTAGGGATTTGACACCGATTATTCAAAATTTACAGCTGACTGTAAAATGATTTGCAATTGAGTTTAAAAAATTTAACATGTAGCATTGAAAAAACTTGTTGATTTATTCATCAAGTTGCAGAGAGTTAGCACCCATTATTCAAAATTAAAAACTGATTATAGAACAATTTCCAAACTGAGCCTCTAAAATTTAACACAGCATATTGAAAAAGAGAAAAACTTCACTGAGGGTATTTAAGTAAATTAACTTTGAAATTTTGATCACTTATATTTTCAAATGTTCTGGTCCTTCTTTGGCATTAATTGGCTCGTGGTCCTGAAGTGTCATTCCACTGTACTCAACTTACCAGTTATTCTGCTCACTTAATCAAAGAGTTATGATGATAATCTATTTTCTCCAGTGTCTCATAAACATGAAGCATCACTTTGGAATATGATCAAAACATCATAAAATAAATTATAGCCAACCTTTTCCACCAAAGCTGACCTGATGCCAACAGCAAATTCACTCTCCCCACCTCCAAACCAACCAACAGGTCCAGCATACATTCCTCGATCAAATACTTCTGAAAGTAATGTTTGAAAGAAAGGTAAATTTTTCCCCAATGACTAAAAGCCACAAATATGTCAATCAAAAAGCATAATTATGCTTCCCCATTTTTAGTCTAAGTGAATACAGACTGTTACCTTTTTTAATGTGTGCAGTTAAAAAGCATAGCTACACTTCCCATTTCAACTTTATTACAATCTGTAGGACTTGTTTTATTTTTTTGGCCAAAAGCTATATTACTTATCCCCTAGCTATGTCAAAATGATTAGGATCAAAAGTGCTCCGAAGAACAAATAGGCTTTGATGATTTAATTGCAAATGAATATAGCATATGGAGTATTGGATTTGTATGTACCTGTTTCTGCAATTAAAATTCGTGCCTCTTCTGTGGGAAACCCACAAACTGCAGGACTTGGATGAAGTGATGACAAAATTTCAAACTGGAGAACAAGATGAGGAGCCTAGTTAAATGATGAATACTTAATAAGCATACTCCCATGAGTAGTCTGAAACTCTTATCATCCCACTTTTACCTCATCTTCTTCGCTTCTTAGCCTGCCGGCTAATTGGGCAAATAAATGTTGGATCCTTGGGAGTTTTCTTATTGCTTTGCTTGGTTTCATCAGTACATTCTCGCATACTGCCTGTTCAGAAGAATGCTACAAATATCATTATCAGGTGGGGGAACTGGTACAACTAAATCAAAGGGTTTCCCTCATGCTAACTAACTAACCAAAGAAGGTCTAAATTGACTACAATAGGATGAACAGTGACATGAAAATAAACTAGTATATAGAGCATAATATCATATAGAATCAAGACAGTTCTTTGTTGATTTTTAACTTGGATTGCATTGTCCACAAATTAATAATCAAGGACAAATAAGGTTCTAGATTGCAGTCGGGAATACTTTCTAAATTAGCCCATTAGTTTTTCTATCAGGTTCTTTACTTCCAGTGTCAACCTGCGATATTAGGACCAAATTCCAAAATCTGACATCATAATATGCAAACATTATATTAAAATATATTCTTTTCCATACATCTCCCTCTCTTTTTGGACTAACGATTCACAAAGGATTCAAGGACAAGTTCCGACACAAACATAAACCATACATGCAGATGCCAACATCTCTTCCAGCAGCAATACAATCTAATAATGAGGATTATAAAGATAAGTTTACCTCCAATTTACTTCTTATGGTCTCTCTGACTATAGCAAACTCCATATCCTCCTTTGGACTGTAAATAAGAGGCAAATAAGTTAAATGACAGAAATAGGGAGGCTAGTTATAGGTGCAAATAGTAGAAATTGTGGGTATCAAAGGAAATAAGACTAAAACAGCAGCTTTGATAAGCTCTAAGCACAAATAGAACCTGGAAAGTAAATATAGTTCAATTTGATGATCTAGTGCTGTTGTTGCACCTCTTGCACGGGTTCCAGCCAAGGCTTCACTAGTTATGTGAAGCCATTTTCTGTGAAATAGTTGCTCTGGCTATTCATGAAGTTCATATAAATCAAAAATGAAACAAAGGAAAAACAATCTATCATTGCTGATTCAATTCAGCAAACAGATCTGCAAATTCATTTCTGGAGCATTCCATCAAAGCACAGCACGAAACAATTGATGCAATAAACTATGTAAGCCATCTTAGTTCATAGTTTGATGGGGTAACGCTTACTGTGTTTCCAATGAAGGCTGGTGCATCAGATGGCTGTAGGAAAAACTGGTATGCACCTGCACCTTCAACCTTCAATTGGTTTGGATATATGACGAACGTTACCAAATGTTTATGAAGAAATCACCACAAGTAAGGCAAGATTAGATTCAAATACCTGTAAGGATGCTAACCACGATAGAGGATCAATGTCAGCAGTAGGCACTACTCTGGTACTTCGGGCTAGCACAACCTGATTTTCCATTATGCTATGATATAATGCTATAATACCAATATAGAAGTAAAGCAAGACCTGGCGGGAAAAATAATCAAAACTAACAAGCGTGGAATGCGGATTAACCTTGGTTAGTAAGGAGTGGTTTTTCTGGATCATTTGCAAAGCTCTGTTAACAGCAAGATCCCACTCTACCTTAGAGGGAATGTTATGACTGATTATTATGGATGTTCGGGGAGCCTGTTTTGGAAACTTCACGATGAAAGAAGAAACCTGCAGCACGAAGATGTACGATGTCAACAAAATCCATTTCTATATTCGAAACAGAGAATATACATGCATGGACCTTGCGAAGTGTTGCCCGGAGTGCATTGACTGCGTTTTCCCATGACCAGGAAAGAGCATTATCCCATGCAATAGTTGCAGCAATCATCGACGTTCCTTCGAGCTCATCAAACTCGACCTGTCATTTTTTTTTTTGGGTATCTCTAGCTGCTGATGCTATAAATACTAACGAGAAAAACATCACAATGATATAGAACAGTTATTGGTTTGGAGAAAGAGAAGAAAGTGGGTTACCTGAGGAATCACGAAGTAAAAAGAACCAAAAGGCAGCCACTCGGGCGACACCTTAGCTTTAGGGTTGAAACGAATAGCTCCATAAGCTCTGATTAATGGGCACCTCTCAGAAAGAAACCTTCACAGCAAAGTTTAAAACAAAATGATGAGAATTTAAGGGTCGATGCAAGTGGCTTTGAGAGGTAAAAAGTAACCTTTTGATGGAAAGCCAGTCGTCGTAAGAAAAAGGATGTGGCTGCCGGAAGTAGATTGCGGAACCGACACCGGCGACGCTGACCAATTTGTGTTCGGAGGCCATAGACATTGAACTGTGACCATTCCCAAGAGAGGGTTGTGTCGCTCGACCTGAGAAAAAGCAGCGAGGAAGCAAAAGTTCGGGTTGGGAATGGAGCCAATCAATAGCTTCAATCTGCTCTTCAATCGCCACCTTCAATCCGAATATCAAATATATGAAACAACTTTCAGCATTGGCGATAGCCCCTTTCTTATTCCCCGCAAAAACTAGTCATTTTCTTTATTTTGTTTTTTATAAAGGAAAAAATGGAACGAGTAAGCCGGAGGCCATTACTAATTACGACGCGTCAATTTCTTAAGATGCATGAAATTTCAGAAGTGACCGAACAACTTTCTAAAAATTTACCAACAGCATATGATTTTGCTCACATTCTTCTCACAGATTTTTAAAATTTTTATTTTGCTCATGATTATGTATATTTTTAAGATTCTTTTAAAAAATAACACTAAATCAACCCATCAATGTCAATAATCAGTCAATCCAATATCCAGAACCGAAAGTCGTCCCTCAAAAATAAAAATCCAGAATAGAAGAGCAGAAAACGCAGGAGAATACAAGTGAAGAAGGGTGAGTGAGGCGGATCCTGAAAAAGAAATAGCATTCCATGTTTATTTTTAGATCATACAGAAAGCAGTGACTGGGCATTGGCGAGAATCAGATGGACAAATCCTTTGAAAAATTGAAGCAAATGAGGAAAGAGCGTGAACTGGAAAGCAAGAGAGGGAGAAACGAGGTAAGGTTAAGGGCAGAGCAAGTGCGTGACGTGGAGCAGCGAAGGCCTCAAAATTGTTGAAGGAGGAGAGACAAGGAAGGCAAGGCAGAGAGAGCTAAAAGAAGAATAGGAAACCTGGAGGCGGATGATGCCGGAGGTAGACAGAGGAGGTTGGGAAATCAGGTGGGAGACGGCGGAGTTGAGGGCGTCCATAGCCAATGCCGGCGATGCAACTGAGGGAAGAGTGCGTGTTTCAATAATAACGACTGGGATTGCTGGATGCTGCGCAAGTCCTTGACGCCCGCAACCATTCAGGGAAAGAGAGCATGCCTTGAATTTAGGACCCTACACAAAACAAGATCACAAACACTTGTTGCAAACAAATATATCAGAGATATAGGAGGATGGTAGGAGGGTAGAGGGAGGAAGCTCAATTACATGATGACAGATGAAACCGAGGGATTGCCTGCTCGACTTTGAGGCTGCAAAGATCACGATGCTGCGTTTTCCAGATTGTGCGTTGGTGGCCCATTCGGGGGCAGTAGCTCCGACCGCCATTGCCAGCTGAGCTCTTCTCAAAGCAGAGCAAGTGCTACCAAGTGATAAGCAATCTTATTGTTCAATCAGGATGTGAAATGATATGGTTCGACTTCCACTTTGGAATGTGGACCTTCCCGGCTTCCATAACATCCGGACTATCTTGATTGCGGGGCCCTTTTTTATCAACTTCATCCAAATTTTTTATTTTTCCATCACGAACGGGCACTTTCACCCGTATGAAGAAATTCTTACGTTGACCACTGTATCAAGCTATTCATACCCCAAGTGTCCATTCAGTAAAACCTTGATATTTAAATGGCATTGAATATAAATAAATTTTGTTATTAATAATAGTTGTAAAAAAAATATAACAATTAAATATACATTTTATTATAAAAATAAAATAATTAAAAATAATTATATATAAAATTTTATTTGATTAAATTAATATAATTTTATTAGATAGAATATGAATGGGTATTATACATTAAATTTATGTAAAAAAATTTCGGTCAATTCATTACTGCATAAAGCATTACCTTGTTTTGTTTCTTTTTTGCCTTTTTTTTTGTTTGGCAATTTGTCTCTTTATGTTCCTTTGTTATTTCAAATCAATATTAATATTGTGACTATAATTTTATCTAATCCAATCACATTACACCATAATAGAGTTCCATTCACTTTGATATCTTCCATGCAACGTCCGGGAAATAAAAATCTTGTTTATTAAGATATTACTACTAAGAATGGAAATGGGTTCAAAATGACTTCATGTCTGTAACATCTCAAAAATTTTAAGATTTAAATTTATTTTAAAAAAATAAAATGAAATATTTATAATTAAATTAAAATTTAGAATAATTTAATAGAGGTTTAGAGTTTAAATTTTTCTCAACAAAAGTTTGGTTTTATTTGATTTTTAACTATGAAAAAATTACCAAAGTTGACCTGAGTTTTTGTACTATAATAAAAAATGTTGGGTCATTTCTTGTAATTTTCTCCAAGGTATTAGATCAGCAATTTAAAGAGCAAAAGAACACAAAAACTGAAAAGAAAAAGAAAGGAAACGTGTGAGAGAGAGAGAGAGAGAGAGAGAGAGGAAGAAGAAAGGAGAGAGAGGGGGAGTTAGGCTCGGATCCAGGAGACTTTGCGGCCGTTGCGAGCTCGGCTACGCGATAGGTAAACTCCCTACTTCAATCCTCTTCCCTTCCTCTTTGTTTTTCTCAATTTTTGGAAGAGGAAATTTATGGATTTTGATCCTAAAGACTTTATTCTTGTAAGCTTTTGTTTCTTTGGATCCTAGGGAGGATGTTTTGAGTTTCTATATAGTGATCGAATATCGAATGATTAAATGGTGCACCCCGAAAGTTAGTTCGGAGGTGTTGTCATGACAGCTTTTTAGCTATCATGACAGCAAAAATAATCAATCTTTTAACATGTCTAATTTTTAATTCGACCGTTGAATCTTTTTGAAATTTGATACACTTATAGTACCTTTTAAATGTGACGTATGAGCTTTAAAATTACTTCAATTAGAGGTCAAATGACAGAACAGTGCCTCTTAAAAGTTGGCCCAGGAGGGTTATTTATTGCTGTCATGACAACATCTTTTTATTCTACTTTCATCTAGCTTGCTTCCATGTGCTATAGGTAGAACCTAATAAATTTTTTTAAGGTTTTAAATGATTTATTTCTTAAGTTGGTTAAAGAATCAACTCCTTAACCACACTTAGTTTATTTGAATTATGTGATTTTTGGATAACACTTAGGGCGAGTGTTACATTTGGTTTCAGTTTTAGGTTTATTTCTCTTTCCTACTTGGCACCTTAAATACATTACTCTTATGCTCTTTCCCTTCTTCCACTAACCTGGACTAATATTGTTTTTCTTTCTCTGGCTTGTTCCTTTAGGAGGGGAGAAAGGTCCGTACGCTTGTGACCGTACACCTTTCAGTTCTAATATGGCTCAAAGGGGAAGAGGTAAATCGAGGAATGAGGAACGACCACCACCTCTACCTCCTCCGCCTCTGCCTCCACCTCCACCACCACCACAGGAGACGGATGCAGTCATGGCTAGGTTGCTTGAAGTGATGGTGGATATACAACAAAATCTTAGAGGTCGTGCTGTTCCAGATCAACATGTTGACCCAGGTGTTAGGCAGGGATCTTCTAGTGCTGTGGGAGCTCAGGGATCGATTGCTGATAATTAAGAGGATGACATATTCAGACCTTGAAAGGAATTCTCTCACTCTAATCCGACCACATATGATGGTAGTTTGCTTGATAGGAAAGCTGAGGAGTGGTTGGATTGGATGGAGCAGTTATTTACTGTTGTGAGGTGTACATCTGAGCAGAGGGTTATCTGGGCTACGATGCAGCTTGTTGGTGAAGCCAAGCATTGGTGGGATTCTATTAAGCCTACAGATGGAAGATCTATGTCTTGGGCTGAATTTAAAGAAAGATTTTATGATTTTCACTTTCCACTAGCTTTCAGAGATGAGAAAGAGGCAGAATTTCATACATTTCAGCAGGGGGACTTAGACGAGGAGACTTTTATGAGAAAATTCAATCAGCTGTCTAAGTTCTTAACATATCTGAAGGCTTCTAATGATAGCAAGTAGAAAACAAAGAGGTTATTAGAAAAGATGAGGCTAGAATACCGCCAGCAGCTGTCTTTGTTGGGTGAGGCGACATATAATGAGATGTGCAATCGTCTGAGGATTGCCGCTCGCTGAGGCCGAGACACAGAGAGTAGCCATAGTAGGGATACACGTGGTCGATTTTCTTCTAGGTTGGCTCCTACTGGTGGTGTATCCAAGAGAATGGGTTTTAGCTCTAGTTCTTCTTCTGGTGGCTCCTTTAGAGCCAGGTCTTCTTCTGCTTCTGGTAATCAGAATTTAAATAGGGGTTCAAGATTTCAAGGTAATCGGGGTGGTAATATGAGATCTGGGGGTTCTCATTTCTTTGGGAATGCTCCAGCACGTTCTTCGCAGGCCAGTTAGGCCCCAATTCTAAACACAGCGAGGTCACCTTGCGATAGATGTGGTAGGGTTCATTCTAGTCGCTGCTTTGCTTGCTACAAGTGTGAAAAGTTAGGCCATTTAATTCGTGACTGCCTTAATTTACATGAGAGCTCAGATTGAAGGAACGTGATTCTCGGTAGAGTGTATACAATATCTCAAGAGGAGGCTATGAAGTCATCGAATCTGATCATTGGTATGGTTTCTATTTATGGCCTTGATTTAGAAGCTTTATTTGATTATGGTGCAATGCATTCTTTTATTTCTACCGAGCACTTAGATAAACTAGGTATGCCTGTTGATCAGTTGCCCCATAATATAGAAGTTTTCTCTACTTCTGGTTTGGTTGGTCGATCCAGTGTGGTGTGTAGGACTAAGATGACTTTTAATGGGCGATTGACTTAGGTGAATGTGATCAAATTACCTATGCAAGGGATTGATTTAATTATCGGTATGGATTGGTTGACAGCTTATGGTGCTGTCTTAGATTGTGTGGCTAAGGCAGTGACTTTGGTAGAAGTACCGATGGTGATCGAAGAATACCCTGGTCATTGTTGTTTTCTTTCTTCTTTGCAAGCTGAAAGGTTGAGTGAGCAGGGTTGTGAGGCTTACGTGGTAGTGCTCGCTACCTAAGGGTCTGAGACAGGTATAGTGGATGAAATTGAGGTTGTTAGGGAGTTCCCAAAGGTGTTTTCAGAGGATGTGTCAAGATTACCTCCAGAGCGTGAGGTTGAATTCTCAATTGACCTGGTACCGAAGACTTAGCCAATTTCAAAGGCTCCCTATAGAATGGCTCCTTCAGAGTTAGATGAGTTGAAGAAGTAACTTGAGGAGCTATTAGATAAGGGATTTATTAGACCCAGTGTTTCACTTTGGGGATCCCCTATCTTATTTGTGAAGAAGAAGGATGGTAGTTTGAGATTGTGTATCGATTACAGGCAGTTGAATAAGGTTACAGTGAAGAACAAGTACCCACTGCCTTGTATCGATGATCTCTTGGATCAGTTGGTTGGTGCCATGATTTTCTCTAAGATTGATTTACGTTCAGGGTACCATTAGCTGAGGGTTAGTAAGAAGGATGTGGCAAAGGCAGCTTTTAGGACTCGATATGGTCATTACGAGTTTTTGGTTATGCCATTCGAGCTGACTAATGCGCCTGCGGTTTTCATGAACTATATGAACCGCATTTTTTGATCTTTCTTGGATCAGTTTATGGTGGTTTTTATTGATGATATACTGATCTACTCTAAAGATGAGGAGCGCATGTCAGATACTTGAGGACTGTCTTAAGGTTTCTGCGAGATCATAAGCTATATGCCAAGCTCAGTAAGTGCGAGTTTTGGATGAGAGAGGTTAGGTTCTTGGGACATATCGTGTCGGCAAATGGTATTGCAGTTGATCCATATAAGGTTGAAGTGGTCTTGCAATAGGAAAGACCAAAATCGATAACAGAGATCCATAGTTTTTTGGGATTAGCAGGTTACTACCAGCATTTTATTAAAGGTTTCTCTCATATTTCTATGTCTTTGACTAGACTCACAAGGAAGGATAGGCCATTTATCTGGGATGATAGGTGCGAGATAGCTTTTCTTGAGTTGAAAGAAAGGTTAACAATAGCTCCAATGTTGGTGATTCCGAATCCTTAAAAGCCCTATGATGTGTATACTGATGCCTCTCATAAGGGTCTTGGTTGTGTTCTAATGCAAGAGGAGAGGGCAGTGGCATATGCATATCGATAAATTAGGCCACATGAGGAGAATTATCCGACGCATGATCTCGAGTTAGCTGCGGTGGTCTTTGCATTGAAGATCTAGCATCATTATCTTTATGGAATAGAGTTTAGGGTCATGAGCGACCATAAAAGTCTCAAGTACCTGGTGGATCAAAAAGAGCTAAACATGAGATAGAGACGTTGGATGGAGTTTCTTAAAGATTATAATTTTGAATTTAAGTATCATTCGGGGAAAGAAAATGTGGTAGCAGATACTCTTAGTCGGAAGACCTTACATGTAGCCTATTTAATGGTTCGGGAGCATAGATTGATGGAGTCTTTGGTTGAGAATTCTCTGGGTATGATTGAGTTCTTTTTAAATAGTCTTAAGACTATGGTTATTTCCAATGAATTTTGGAAAGAGATACGAGATGCTCAGCTTCAAGATCTGATTTTGTTAAAAATAAGTCAAGACATCGAGAATAGTGAGACAATGGACTATTGGTTTAGTGATGATGGGTATGTGGTTTTCAAGGATAGGGTGTGTATTCCTAACAATAAGTCTATTCGAAAGAAATTGTTGGATGAGGCACATCGAAGTAGCTACACCCTTCATCCCGGTGCTATTAAGATGTATCATGACATGCAGCGTCATTGGTGGTGGCCAGGCATGAAAAAGGATGTCACAGAGTATGTTAGTAAGTGTTTGACCTGTCAGAAGATCAAAATAAAGCACCAAAAGCCATCGGAGTTGTTACAGCCTTTGGAGATTCCTAAATGGAAATGGGAGAGTATTTTAATAGATTTTGTATCTGGTTTGCTGAGGACCCAGGCTAGTTTTGACTCTATCTGGGTAATTGTTGATCGTTTGACTAAGTCAGCACATTTCTTATTAGTCAAGACCACCTATACGATTGATAGGTATGCTGAGATCTACATTAAGGAGGTTGTGCGACTATATGGGGTATCGAGGGATATTGCTTCAGACCGTGATCCTCAGTTTATATCGAATTTATGGCAAGCTATGCAAAGGACTATGGGCACGGATTTGAAGTTCAGTACGTCTTATCATCCGCAAACGGATGGACAAATTGAGCGGACGATCCAGACATTAGAGGATATGTTGAGGTCATGTGCCCTAGAGCTTCAAGGAAGCTGAGATAAGCATTTATCTCTGGCAGAGTTTGCTTATAATAACAGTTATCATGGGACCAGATTTGGTAGATGAGACCATGAAAAAAATCAAATTGATCCAACAAAAGCTTCTTACGGCACAGAGTAGATAGAAAAGTTATGCAGATAATCATCGTAAGGACCTGTCTTTTGAGATTGGAGATCATGTTTTTCTCAAGGTTTCCCCACTGACGGGCATTGGACGCTCAATTCGGGCTAAGAAGTTGTCTCCTCGATATATGGGTCCTTTTGAGGTTTTGAAGAAAGTTGGTCTGGTGGCTTATCAGTTAGCATTGCCGCCTTAATTAGTGGGTCTACACAATGTGTTTTATGTATCACAGCTGAAGAAGTACCAGCTAGACCCGTCGCATGTGATAGAACCTAAAGAGGTTGAAATTCAGGAGAATTTAACCTACCGGACTGAACTAGATGGTATTGTGGATGCTAAGGATAAGCAGCTCAGAAATAAGACAATCCGATTGGTAAAAGTGATTTGGAAAGGGACAGCTCCGGGAGATGTAACCTGGGAGACTGAGGATCAAATGAGGAAGGAATATCCACTGTTGTTTCCCTAGGTATATTTCTCTCTTTGATTCATGAATTAGCTTGGATTTTGAGGACAAAATCTTTTTTAAAGGAGGGGAGAATGTAACATCCCAAAAATTTTAAAACTCAAATTTATTTTAAAAAAATAAAATAAAATATCTATAATTAAATTAAAATTTAGAATAATTTAATAGAGGTCCAGAATTTAAATTTTTCTTAGCAAAAGTTTGGTTTTAGTTGATTTTTAACTATGGAAAAAATTACCAAAGTTTACTCGAGCTTTTGTGCTGTAATAAAAAATGTTGGGCCATTTCTTATAATTTTTCACAAGGTATTAGATCAGCAATTTAAAGAGCAAAAGAACGCAAAAACTAAGAAAAAGAAAGGAAACGCATGAGAGAGAGAGAGAGAGGAAGAAGAAAGGAGAAAGAGAGGGAGTTAGGCTCGGATCCAGGAGACTTTGCAGCTGTTGCGAGCTCGGCTACACAATAGGTAAACTCTCTACTTCAATCCTCTTCCCTTTCTCTTTGTTTTTCTCAATTTTTGGAAGAGGAAATTTGTGGATTTTGATCCCAAAGGCTTTATTCTTGTAAACTTTTGTTTCTTTAGATCTTAGGGAGGATGTTTTGAGTTTCTATATAGTGATCGAATATCGGATGATTAAATGGTGCACCTCGAAAGTTAGTCTGGAGGTGCTGTCATGACAGCTATTGACAGCAAAAATAGCCAATCTTTTAACATGTCTAATTTAAAGCTGTCATGACAGCAAAAATAACCAATCTTTTAGCATGTGTAATTTTTAATCTGACCGTTGGATCTTTTTAAAATTTGGTACATTTATAGTATCTTTTGAATGTGACGTGTGAGCTTTAAAATCACTTCGATCGGAGGTCGAATGACGGAACGGCGCCTCCTGGAAGTTGGCCTAGGAGGGCTGTTTATTGCTGTCATGAGAACATCTTTTTATTCTACTTTCGTCTAGCTTGCTTCTGTGTGTTATAGGTAGAACCTAATAAATTTTTTTTAAGGTTTTAAATGATTTATTTCTTAAGTTGGTTAGAGGATTAACTTCTTAACCACACTTAGTTTATTTGAATTATATGGTTTTTGGATAACACTCAGTGCAAGTGTTACAATGTCATTTTTCCAAAATAATTATAGCCCCCATTTATGGCCTACAATGTTTTCACTCCCCTCATTTAACAGTGAACACCATAGTCACTCCAAGTCCAAGCAGTTTATATACTCCAATAACACGTACACTTGCATTTATTCTGAAAAGAGGCGCTCGAGCTCGAATACAGCATTGAAGGATAGCAATTCTGGCAAATAATCATTAATGATGCTATAATACGTGATTGCATGAACATGATCATGATTCATGGAAAATTTCATTGTCGGCCTTGTAACAAGACTATCCTCGACAGCCCATGATTGCAACTAATAAACATCATCTTATATCACAAATATCCAAGAACACCAACTATTAGGATGGCACATGACTATTGACTAGTAAGATCGACGTCCTTCCCTTTTCCCTTTCAGCAACGAAGTTTGAAGAAACATGCTTATGCCTTTAATTAAAAAAGAAGATATGACAAAAAGACTTGCTAAGTTTGGAAGTGTATTATGAGTCTGGCGCGTAAAGCTATTGTAGGAGTCAAATATGAGAAGTGAATAGGTTCAAAGACCAGGTGGCATCATCACAGGGAGAACAGCCCTCTTGTGCAATATCAGTTATCTGAACACCAGTGTCATACACCTGTCCAGTTTTCCAATCTGCAGGTAACACCTTCTTTGCCCAGATCCATTTTCCATCGTACCCTGCTGTCACCACTATCCTCATTTGTAATGCGCCACCTGGAACCCTGCTTGTGTCCCACACTGCTCCATGGTTTCTGCTCATGAAGCTCCAGTTTGAAGATTCAACCTTGAACCCATTTGTCGTACATTTATTTAAACTTTTACATATGGATCAATCATCAATGAGAATGGAGTGATCGTTTAACGATTGCACATACCTGAGCAACATCAACGGCTACTATCTCTGTTTGACCTCCTTCGTACAAAAATTTAATTGCCAAGTAATATGGTTTTTTGCTTGACTCTTCCACCCGGACCGCCAAATTCTTATTTTTGTACTCACACGGAACTCTGCTTCCACAAAGGCATACGACAAACGAAACCAAAAATCACTACACCACTACGTTAGCCTCATTCTTGATTCATGAATATACTAGTTTCACGGCATCTTAAAACCAGTGCCTCTGTTCTTGACAAGTGCTAGTTGGAGTGAAGTGCATTGATTCGAGTTTACCTCTTGAATTCAACATCCAAGATTCCGAGCTTCAAAAGTTGTTGATCGCTACCCTTTTGGGCCATGGCAACGAAGGCACTTCTGCTGAGCACAAAATCAGTTTCATTATGGGCATTGAGATCGGTCAATACAACTCTGCTACCTGATTTGGTACACAGGCCTGAGCTCTTGCATCTTATCTGCACAATGATCCATAATTCGATAACTTTCTTCATGATCAGTAATAAATTTTATTGGAAATCCACAGCTATAGATGTAATTGTTACTCACCTGAAAGCATGCACCGCAACGGGCTCCATTTTTGTACAAGGAAGGAACACCAGCTGCAAGGTGTCCACCACTTAATTCCAACGCCAAGGAGCCATACCCACATGCCCCAGCTGTATAATTTTCACAGAACCACGTTATTCCCTGCGTGTCGTTTTAATTTAAAGATGGCAATCAACTGAAAAAGATGATATAAGCAAATCATAGTTACAGGAAAGAGCAGAGTCGTCAGAGAAATAAGAAGCCTTAGTTTGGTGGACGCAGCGATCGCAAGCAGTAGCAGATGAAACAAGAAGGAAGATAAAGCAAAGGAAGAAAGCCATGTTTTTGCGATGAGAAAAACAGATAGATGGACCCGGGATATATATAGCATCGTCAAGGGGAGAGGGAGGGGGAGCAATTTTTTTTTTTTTTAAAAAAAGCTTAAACGGAATATGATATGATTTCAATGTTGCCTAGTAGAGGTGAATGAAAAGAAGACGCATTAACTTAATGGAGTCTCTTAAGCACCCGCGAATCCGCACATACAGCTGTGATGCAGATGGCGGAACGTAGATGAGCACCTTTATTCAAGCATTTGTGCACTTTGAGATTTCGTCCCACTTCCTTTATCACAATTTCAAACTAATAATATTGGAGATTAGAAAATTCTGTAGTGGCCTTTCCTGTTTTCACCTTGACCCTATGGAGGAAAGATAGGCATGTCTATCTTACTGGGAAGCTGTAAGTTTTGGAGACTAGAAAGCATACTTTTGATGACAATAGAATTCATCTTCAGTCTCCTTTTACACGGAATTTGAGTTACAGACTCGGCTCTCATATATATCTTCATAGTAGATTTATCGTTCCTTCTAAAGAAGAAAGAGATCAAAAGAGTTTTCAAGAATGGGAATAATCCGAACCTACGTGTATTATATGTAATTATCAAATCACCCAATACATTACTCATTGATAATGAGTGGTTACTTTGTTTTTAAAAATAACATAATTACTCCTCCCAAATATTCTGGCAACCATCATAAAAATAATTATTTAACCCAACTTGGGCTTTCATCTACTTGGCCTAATTTATCAAGGGTGGAATCCAACATAAGCTCGATGCAAGATTATGATCCCAATTGCTTTTTCGGACATCAAACTAGCAATATAGCCGTACATAGCTTCAACATTTCTCCTTGGCGGCATTCTTTTGTAAAGATATCTGTTTTGTAACTGTAACATGACGAGAAGCGTACGAATGAAACTTGCATTGCACTCAGTCAGATCATTAAGATCAGAGCAACTTCTAAAAGTTAACATGGCACTGGTCCCCGATTTCCGGTTGATGATGATGATGCGGCAACAAGCCAACAGCTGCGTGAATAGTGAATACAATGATAAATATCTTTTGATTTTAATGAATTGTTGTTGCTTGGTGGAAGTGCCTAGAAAAAGAAAAACGCAATAACGTAATGGTTGTTGATGATGTCTGAAACCAAAAACACACGTTGCCGTTTCCAATTGGCCGAGTTACAAGCAACCAGAAATAAATGGTACGTCGCACAAACTTGGATTCAAATTCCACTACAATTGCAAGGAACTCGCTAGTGGGAAGTGGGAAATATATCAACACCTCTAAAAGTGATTATTGGATGGATTTCATAAACCTTTGAAACCAAACAATCCAATGTGATCAACCCACAGCTAAACGGCGGAGTCTATCTTCATGTCTCCCCTCTTCACCATTTCTTTGAAGGGAAAATGAAATTTTGGGACCAAATAAGAAGGATAGTAAAAGCCCAAGAATTACTATGAAGAAAAATTCCAATTGAACTTGTATGATTTCCTACTTAACTCTTAGAATTTTCAACTTATGTGTAAATAGGAACATTTTGGTAAACCGATTTTTTTTGGGGGGGGGGGAATGTCGAGAGGGGAATCAAAGTCCTTAACTAAGTGACATCTTAAATTTTCAACATCTTATTTAAAAAAGTCAGTTGTGTTCATTAACTTGGTCTCCAAGAATATTATGTAGCTGATGAAATAATAACTTTTTATATCCTCCCATATAGGTACATGAACTTGCTTTCAGCATATATATCATGTGGTTAACTAGTCTCTTGGACAATTTAATCATGAACATAGTATTAAAAAAAAAATCAATGTGCCAAGTATTAAATCCTAAAGTATCACTATCCTTCATCTTTAATCCCAAAGCGTCATCGTGACTATAAATTATGAGTTAAACAAAGTTAATAGATATAATTAAATAATAATGAAAATAATGAAACAATAATTGTACAATTTTTCTAAAAATAAAATAAATAGGGTTTGAACGAAAGTGAAGGTTTTCACATTATTTGTATTTCTCATGGTCAAAACACTGCGTCAAACTTTTGGGATCCCGACATCCCATAGACAAGGAAGGCGTGAATGCTGAGCAGTAGTAGCACAGGAGGGCACGGCTAGCTTACGTCCATTCTCAAAACTTCCTCTTATGGTATCTCTTGCATTATACTTGGCATTAGGAAGTCCCAGCAAATCCCACATTTAATTGAAAAGCGTCAAAATTTAAAACCTGGAATCAAATATGTCAGCGGAGACCATCACGATCAATCAGGAGAACCAACTGGCTTCCAAAACTAACACTGTACATGCTCTACATTATTCGAATCATCTGGACACCCTGTAACGACAACAAGGGTCTTCCCCAAGGCTTCTGTCCCTCTAACTTGCGATATAGTCACCGGGAAAACGAGCAACTGTATTTTGTCATCTCAGTTTCCCTTTTCGGATAAAATAGCTACAAGCTCTGATTGAGCCTTTTCAAGGGCACTTGCTAAATTCTCAGGCTTCTTACCACCTGCCTGAGCAAAATTGGGCCTTCCTCCCCCTCCCCCACCACATAACTTTGCTATCTGTCCTATAAACTTGCCTGCCTGAATTCCCTGATCGACAATCCCTGGTGTGAAAGCAGCAACCAGACTAACCTTATTTTCACCTGGACATGACCCCAACATTACAGCTGCTGGATCTGGTAATGTTTCTATTAAATATTCTGCTGCATTTTTTAGTGAATCAGCATCAATATCATCCAAGCACTCAACTAGTACCCTGAAATTTCAGATTTCAAGAAATAGAAGTCATACATCTACCAACAATAGTGCATGCGTTTCATTTCTCCCCCTTCTCTAGCTTGTGCAATAAATTTTTTGTAAATATCAGGAAATACATACATGCAGGACATGGCTGGGGTTCTAGCCATCATTGTTACATTTACATACTAGATATTTAATGAACTATCAATGATATGATACAATCACTGCTTCTTGATTGTCAGATTTCCATGGTTAAGATACAGAAAACCAGAAGGAAAAAAATTGAGACTCAGATTTCATAGAACGCTTTCCCTTTAGTGTGATATTTGCAAGGGACATTAAGAATTCAATCATTAAAAAAAAAAAAAAATACTTCACTGTCGTTCATAGGATAAAATATCCTCTACCTAACTTAGTTCAAGCATCAAAGGGAAACATGAGGAAATTACCTGAACTGTTTTGAATTTCCCACCAACAAAGCTTTGCTTGCAATAACTGATGCTTTGAAGACAGCTGCTTTTGCACGCAAAGCAGAATTTTCATTTTTTACTTCCCGCAACTCCACTAAGAGGTTTTCTACCCTCGTTGTCACTTCTTCAGGTTTCACCTTCCCAAGGAAAGATAAAGACAAGCAAAGTCAATATATTGAACATAAAGTCCAGCCCATGGTTCATGCTCAGCCCAACACAAACAAGTCCACCAATACTGGCCCTCACAATGCTGCAATGACAAAATTATCCTAGGCTTTATCCTTTAGTGATTCTGGAATTCTGTACACCTAGGGGCACGTGTCTTTCTTTATTCACCTGTATCAGTCTACACACGCATCTTTCTCACTGTATACGTTGGTGCCTTTGTGCACTCTGTAAAGCAAGGCAATGCTAATGAATTACTCAGTATAATATCATTTGTCTCTCATACTCTATACCTTGACAAATATTACAACTGGAGTTTACTTAGAGGAAAGGAACGACAACATGTTCTAATAGTAAAAATTCCAAATGAAAGTTTTTCTAACTATTTAGGTTTCAGATAAAAATTATAAACATGAAATCTAACTATGTAACTATTAATTACAGCTTGCAGAGTAAGATCTTGCCCTATCATAAGCGCTTTGCAGAATATAAACAACTCTAATAACTAATGCAGATAACCATTATATCAATTTTAAGTAGGAGATGTCTATAACGCTATTGAATATAAGAACAATATACCAAGAAATAGCCAAATTGATCAAATGGACGCAAACAAGTATATGCAGTCCATGCAGATGAATATGAATGATACGGATACCTGATTCCCTCAAGGATCATTGATAAACTAGTAAACAAATAATTGAGAGAAGCAGGGATTACAAAGAATACTTTGAGAGTGGAACATAGCTGCTTAATATAAGAGTCTCTGGTAGTAACATATTCAATGAAAGCTTCACCAGCTACAGCTTCTATTCGCCTGACTCCAGATGCAATACCCTGCTCTGAAATTATCCTAAAACCACGAATTTCAGAAGTATTACTAACATGGGTCCCGCCACAAAGCTCCATGGATACACCAGGAACCTCTACAACACGTACCTGCAATGCAACAAATTCATTGAGAACCGCAAGAGGTTGCATGAAGACACCCATCTTAAAAGTGGTGGGGAGACCTTAGGATCAGACTTCGTTTAGAAAGCTTAATTACTTTCACAAGCTTTTCAACTCTTAATCAATCCATTTTTGTGGTTGGATGAACCAGGCTATAAAATGACATATTTATTTAACTATATTTTCAAGACACTACAACTTCTTGGAATGATTGGGAATCCAACAGCTATTAATGGTAACTAGAGCCAGAAGAAAAGCCAGGGTTGGAGGATCAGTTGGATTTTGCAATCCATCCTTGATAGTCTAAAATATGACTTCCTTCATGATATATGTAACCTAGACGCTCAGAATGACTAAAACATAAGCAAGATAATTAAAAGTTGAAGTTCAATATCAGAAAATATGAAGTAAAACCTCTTCTCCATATTTTTCTCCAAACATTGCTATAGCTCCAGCCTTTTTTGCATCAGCAAGAGGCATCACTCTGGTTTGAAGAAGTGTTGCATCCTCAATCCATCCATTGATTAGCCCTTCAATTTCTACAAGCTCACTGTCAAGAAGTGGTCGATGGAAATTGAAATCAAACCTGAGCCGATCAAATGCCACTAAAGAACCAGCTTGTGATGTCTCTGGACCAATAACTTTTTTTAGTGCAGCTTGCAGCAAATGGGTGGCCGTATGATGAACCTTCAATGAA